CAATCAGGACAGCAGGGTCCCAGGGCAGGCATCCAAATCTCCAAGGATCCCACTCTCCTGGGCGAGCTAGCTGGTGCAGGAAGCATCTGGAAGTCATAGGAATGACGAGCAGAGCTGGTTAGCAGCAGCAATGCAATACTGATGTAATTGTGGTTTCCAGGCTGGAAAGTCAGGGGGAATAGGAGGTGGTGCACTGGGGCTGAGCAGATGGTAAAGAGACTGGGGTGGGATGTGAAGCATGACTTGGGAACTGCTAGCTGGAGAGGGTTAAGGGGCAGGGAGACCTTCACAACCTCTGAGGTCCCTTTCAACTATGGAATTCTATGACCCCACAGTGATTAGGGTAATCTCTATTTTATAGAAGAGGAATCTGAAGCTTGGAAGAATCAGGTGAATAGGATAGGATCACACAGCCAGTTATGTGTCCAAAGTAGAACTCGAATCCAGATTTTTCTGATCAAAGCCTAATGTTCTATTTACTAATCTATTATACAGGACCATCTCTCTAGTCCAACACCTACATTCTTATAGATGAGGAAACTGAGGCCCAGGCAAGTGAAGTGACTTGCCCAAGGTCATCAAGGGTAGGATTTGAATCCAGGTCTTCAGACTCCAAGTGCAATGCTCTTTCCTGCACCCCACTCAGTTGACTTTCTATAAACCCAAGAGAAGACAAGAGTGAACATTAATGGATGGAATGGTATCACCCAAGCTTTTATTCTGCAGGAAGTTCATTTATTAGAGAACACAAATTTTCTTTTCTTAAATCAACACTCAACAAATTCACATGGACTTAATTTCACATTGTATCTGGCTAACTGTACATTGGCTAATCTCATCATTTAACTGACAACTGGAATCAACTTTCCAGGCCCAATTCTGAGTTTTCAATGATGTACAGAAACAATTAGAGAATTAACTAACAAAGCCAGCCTGGTACTAACAGAGAAACATCAAACCAGTGCAAGAAAAGCTCACGTGTACAAAATAAGATAATTACATTGTGTTCTAGGAACATGACATTATACCGTCTATCGTGGAGAAATCATTAATACTTCCCAAACCAATCCCCAGGGCAGTCATTTACAGAACATCATTCTGCTTTGTGGATCCAAGAAATAGCTTACAATCCATTTATCAGGTTTCTTTTGGCAAGATTTTGCCACCTGACAATAAATAATTCCAACCACAGTGTAACCAGAATGGGACGACCAGAGCTTTGCCCCAAGGCAAAGTACACGTCTTATATTCTTTCAACACTATAAAAATTACAAAGCCTACCAGCGTGTTAGAAGGAATTAGTGAAAAACAGGTTGTCTTTCCCACCCCTCCAAGTGTCCTGATGTCCCCAACGCTCTGCTTCCCCTGTCCCTCTCAAATGAGGACCCTCACTTCAAGATGTTTGCCCCAGGGGCAAAAATTCCTAGTTTTGGTTCTGGTTCCAAGGGAATCCTTTCTAGAAGTCATATTTGGCTTTCACATGCTAGCGACGTCAATTGAGCCTGACTGAACCAGAAGCCACTGCTACAGAGGACAGATGCCAAGGCCGAGGAAAGATAGGACAAACCACCATGAGTGTGGATGACAGCTTGTACTTAGAAATGACATGCATCCTGTCTCCCATTAACAAATCAGACAGTAACAGGATCTTCATCACCCATGGCCACATTTGGAACGCCCTTTAGTATGAAGGGACCTTTCTCATTCCTGAGCACTGAGCACGTAGGACTCAGATGCCATTCCCAAATTCGGTTCATGATCAGAATTCACAAACTGCTGTGACAAGGGGGCTGTTCTCATTGTCTGATTTTGTAGGGTCTTGGTACTTGGGGGGAGGGGGGAGGTGTTTTTTTGCATGTAAAGACCATTCAACCCACCCAAGGCTAACATGCTAGTTACAAAGAGCAGTGTTGTTGTTACTGAAGAAATACTAGGAAAAAAAATTGTCTTTTCTTCAGTGAACAATGCAGGCACAAATGTACCAAAATAAATAACATCATATATCCTGAAACAGGTCACATGTCACTGACTGCAACTGATAATAAGCCTAGTGAATTATAGCTGATGAAAGCCTAGCCAGGAACATCTTCTCCCCGAATCCTCATTTAGCTAACAGCCAGCCAAGAAAGACTTAGACTCCTAGTTCCTGACTCCTAGCCCTGAGCTCTACCCAAGATGTCACCCGCCACTTCAAGACAAAGGACAGATGAACGCAGGGAGGTGGGAGCTCTGACCTACAGTGTGGGCAGCTTTGTCATTTCTATCATCTTGCTTCTAGCTGTATCTTTTGCTTTTCTATCACCCATGTTTCTCAACCTGTCCCTCCTTATGGTCTTTCCCACTGTGACATTCTTCATAATAGAAATTAGAAAAGAGGAAAAAGAAATCAGTTCAAAATGAACCAACACCTCAACCATGGTTGATGCTAAATGCACTATTCCACACCCCTCCACCTCCACCTCTGCAAAGAGGGGCAGTAGGTATATTTTATTTAGATCTTTTTTTAAGTCAGGTTTCTCATTAAAAAAAAAAAGCAGGTTTCTTTTAATGTCAGATGCATTTTTCATCTCACCTTTAAAAGCTCTTTCTCAATGAACTTTTGGGGCCATATGGACTGTCTTTTGGCTGTGACTTGACCTTCATATAACCATGAAGAGTTCAGGCTTAAATACCAGGCATCCAATTTTTAAATCACTCCTCACCTGTTGTTGTCATTGCTGTTTTTAATTTAGGAAATACACTGACTTTCTCAACTGACACCACTAGACTCGGGACTTGAAACACCGGCAGATCTGGCAGAGGCCTAGAGGAACAACCAAGGACACTTTTGATGCTAACCTTCCTAAGATCCTAGTTTTAGAGCCAGAAGGAATCTTTTCGTTCAGTCATTTTTCAGTCGTGTCCGACTCTTCCTGACCCCATTTGGGGTCTTCTTGGCAAAGACACTGGAGTGTTTTTGCCATTTCCTTCTCCAGCTCATTTTACAGATGAGGAAAGTGAGGCAAACAGGGTTAAGTGACTTGCCCAAGGTCACCCAGCTAGTAAGTGTCTGAGGCCAGATTTGAACTCAGAAAGATGAGTCCTTCTGACCCCAAAACTATGGCGCCACCTAGCTGCCCAGAAGGAATCTTAGAGACCACCTAACCCTTTCATGTTGGGAATCAGAAAACTGAGAAACAGAGAGTTGATGAGATTTCCCCAGAGAGGCACAACAAACAGGAATCTAACATGACAGTGGAACCCCAAGTCTTTCCACCTCCAAGTCCAGCACCCCATCAACTATGGCCTCTATAGAGCCACATGATTAATTTAACACTACAGAATCCTACTCTCTGTGGAGCCTCAGCCACATACATGAGAAGGCAAGGCTCCAAGTTTCAGATGGATAGTGGTAACCCATGGGCACAGTCTTCAAATACAAAGGCCTCCTCCTAGTGCCCAGCAGGCCAAAGGAAAAAAAATAAACTCCACATTTCAGCGGTCCAAAATCCCACTTGTGATCTCAGTAATGGTGGAGCCAAAGCTGACTTCCAGGATTAGCAGGTAGACATCCATAAGCTTATCCACATCAACTCCCTAGAGGAGGAGAAACATGGGTGTGCCATCTTTGGCATGCCCACTGAACTAGTCGGTTTGGTTGCACTGAGTTCAAGTACCCAGATGGGCTTAAGATCAGTCAGTCAGTCAATGAATATTTATTAAGCGCCTACTATGTACCACGCATTGTGCTAAGCGCTGGGAATGCAAAGGGAAAAGACAGGCCTTGCTCTCTAGGAGCTCACTTAGATCAAAAACTAACCACCCAGCCCAAGTTCTTCATTTTACAAACAAAGAAACTGAGGCCTCAGCAGGTTAAGTGACTATCCCAAAGTCACACAGGTAGGATTTGAACCCAAATCTTCTTACTCTAGTCAGTGCTCTTCCCACGATGCCTGCTGGGCTTCCTGTGACCAATGACACAAAATCATAAGACCCCCATCTTAGAACTGGAAAGGAACAGAGACATCATCTAGTCTAACCTCTCATTTGTCACATGAGGAAAATGAGGACCAATCAGAGAAGTTAAGTGACTTGCCCAAGGTCACACAGGTACTAAACAACATCGCAGGGATTTGAACCCATGACTTCTGATTCAGAATGCAGCACCCTTTTCCCCTGAACTAATCTGATTTTCAAAGAGGCTTATGAGGGGATGCTGGAGCCATCTCAAACCAACTCAGGGAGCTGATGGTTAAATTACTGGTGTGAGCACTGACATCTCAGAAATCAGAAAATACTAGAAATCGAGGCTTATTGTCATTTTGATGATTGTCTAGACTTAAGAAAGATGGAGACAATGCTAACAATGCTGATTAAACTTTAAATTGTGCAATGCATTCACACTGTTCCCCTAAAGAGCTGGTTGTTAAACATTTACCAGCATACCACTGATCAGGGGTATCATCTTTGAAATAAATACAGATAACTCACAGAAGCAAACTATTCTAAAAAGAAGGGAAGAAAAATGATCTTTTCTTACTTAGAAAAGATCTCTCTCCCCCCTCCATCTACCTCTCCTGCCAACCCCATTTCCTACACCCAAACCCATCTCCATCCTCCTACAGGGTAATTTAGTGTCTCCAAGGAAACAGCACTTAGGAGAATGTCCTCTTCATCTAGACTTAACTGAAACATCCCCTGAGTACAAGAAGTGCTTCAGAAATGTTTGTTGATTTAATTGAAATGTTTCAGTTCTGAAGTGGTTGCCATTTACTATTCGCTTAGAATACAGTCTAACTCTGTGATCTATGAAGCGTCCCTTTTGGAGGCCAGCATTGGACAAATACTCAGCATTCTCATGCATATTTGGGAGAAACCAGGTTATAAAGAATTTGTTGCAAGGAATAATTAATAACAATAAAAACAATAATAACTTTAATACAGTCTTTTAAGATCTACAAAGCACTCTACATATATTATCTCATTTTACCCTCACAACAACCCTGTGAGGTAGGTAAGTACCATTATTATCCCCATTTTATAAAAGAGGAAACAGAGACAGAGGTTAAGTGACTTGCCCAGGGTCACACAGCCAGCAAGTGTTCAAGGATCAAGTCTTCCTGACTCCAAGACCCCTTATCTACCTCTCCGCCATAATACTGCACACTAATAACACTGGACTTTCTACGATCCGTGGCCATGTACCCAGCATTCTTTTAGAGAAAGAGCCTGGCCATATAACCATTTACATTATAGGCAGGGGAAACTGAGCTGAGCTGCTAAAATGGAGTTAAGCTTTTTAAACTTCTTTCAACCAATCAATCAATCACCAAATATTTATTAAGTACCTGCTATGTGCCAGGCACTGTCTTAGGTACTGAAGATACAAATACAAAAACATGAAACAATACCTTCTCAACAGGAGTATATATTCTAACCCAGAGGTTCTCAATCTGGAGTGAACTTCTTTAATGTTAATAAATGTATGCCAATATAATTAATTTCTTTCGTAGTCTTCTGCATTTTATTTCATGTACTTAAAATATTATTCAAGAAAGACTTTCATCAGAGTCCATGACACAAGAACTCCTGAATCCCTCGCCCTAACCCTGTACCCCTCACCAACAAGAGTCACCCAAACTCCCAAACCACTCACGAAGAAAACACACAAAAGACCCCGAAAGGCAAGGGTCTGACATAATGTCTGAGCAACACCTCCCTCTTTCCCTAGCTGGAGTCCCACACCATTAATTTCCTTCTAGCCTGTTGCCTTCCCAGGTCTCATGGCCTAGCATTAAGTTTGCTAACTGTGCACTCATTTTAATAAGCTTTAATTACAGCAAAACTATGGGGAGATGGGAGAATCACAGAAGTTTGTTCCAAAAAGATCCCACCTGTGCCTTCATCTCACCTTCAGTAGCAAACCACGAGACCAAAGTAGTTTTTTGCTGTTTCAGCAGCTCTTGGATAATTCATGTTGATTGTTTCAGGCTGTGTCCCGATAGTCTCACCTTCCTGCTTGTCTCGTTTTGCACATGAATCTAAAACCTTTCTTAATTGGGAACCACAACCCATCTCCAGCCCCAAATTCTCCTCGGTAGCCTGGGACTATTATTTATTCAAGACAGTTTTCTCTCTGCCTTTGTCAGGGAACACCACTATCTTTGTACCGGATAGGCATGGACTCTCATCTGTCACTGATCACACTCTTGGTCTGCCCCTGGTAACAAAGCGGCTGAATGAGGGATAAGGGAGGGTGAGGGAGTTAACTCCCTTCTCCGTCCTCCCTTCTTGAGTCTTCCCAGAGGCAGAGCTTCGATTTCTTTGAAGTACTGCGAATTCCCAGGGTGCAGAATATGTCCACAATGAAAGAGAAATATCAAAATAAATCTCAAATCCAACAACTTGAGGGGTGAGCTCTAGCTTCTAATCTGGCAGCATGAGCATGGAACTTGGCTAAATTATGATTATGACAATACCTGACATTCACACAGTGCATTAAAGTTTGCAAAGTACTTTATGTATATGGGGGTGTCCTAAACATCTTAATATGGTGTTAAGCTCTTAAAAATCTTGGGGACACTCTATTATCTTAATCGAACCCCACAACAATTCTATGAGGTCAGACCAACAAGGATTTAGAGAGAGGAAAAAGTCTCTTTACTAATGCAGCACCTTCTCTGCTATTCATAATGTAGCCTAAGAGAGCTGCCTATGAGTAACTAAGTAACTAGGGTCACAAAACCAGTATATATCAGAGATGGTTCTTGAAATCAGACCACAGTTTTGAGGTCAGCTCTTTACCTAATCTACTATACCTTCTCTTACTACAAGGCTTATTGTCCCCATTTTACAGGTAAGAAAACAGGGGCTCAGAACGCTTAATCAATTTGACCATGGTCACACAGCTAACAAGTACCAGAAATGGAATTCTAACCGAAGTCTTCTGCTCTTTCCACTATAATAGGTCACTTCCTCTTTGTAACCTCTCTGAAGGCAAGGATGAAGAGCTAGGCATTTCTGTTTCCCATGACACCTTGTACATCTTAGGCACCTAGCAGGGAACTGTTGAATGAATGATCAAGAAACACAGTCGTTTCAATACTGTCAAAACTCTACCAAGCACAACGCTCTAGAACTAGTACAAAAAGGGCCTTATCTATCCTGGAAAAATTTAGCTCCAAGGCCTTTGTAAACTGAAAGGCTGAATAAATAGACTTTCAATATGAAGCTCATCTTTCAGCCAACAGAAACCTCAAGGATCTACTTTTCCCTCCTCTAGGTGTCCATAATTCCCATTATCATTAACAGGAGATACAAATCAGAAGAGAGTTAGACCAGTTAATTCTGAATTCCTATTCTATCAAAACAAGGAAATTTATTCACCAGATAAAACCACATAAATAGCAAAATACAATATTCATACTTGCTTAAAAAGCGACGTTTATACTCTCATTGGTATGAATGCCTCAATGTCCGCCCACCTCGAGTGGTTTATTTGGTTACTTGGCCTGGGCCACCCCTTGTGTAAAAGGGATCCTGAAGTTCCCCGCTGTGGGCCTGTCAGACCAGGCTGGAAGTTCATGCTGCAAGGGAGTCCTCCTGGGATAGAATGTGTGACTGAGATCGTAGCTCAGGAGGCAGCTCAGAGACGCCATGTAGATATCAGCAAATCGAGACAAGCGCCTTAGGAAGTATGTGGGGTTCTGGTCTGTTCGAAACAGGCTTCCAAACTGGGAGTTGAAGAAATTTTTGGTCATTTCTCTGTAAAAGTAAAGCGGGTGGGGGAAAGTAGAATATTAAAACCAGGACTGTATGACCAATAAAAGAAAATGTTTTTTTTAAAATGAAACTATCAAAAGCATCTAATTTTATTTATCAGACAGATTTTAAAAGAATAAATTCAAAACTGAACATTAATTTTTCACAAAAAATCCTCTTATCCAATAATTTTTCAGAAGTAATTCCTATCAATTTCCTATCTTTTAGGCAGCTATGTGGCACAGTGGATAGAGCACCAGACCTGGAGTCAGGAGGTCCTGAATTCAAATCCAGCTTCAGACACTTATGACCTCTGTTTGCGTCAATCTCAACTGTAAAATGAAAGTAATCATAGCACTTACCCTCAAAAGTTGTTTTAAGGATGAAATGAGTTAATCGTTGTAAAGTGTTTACCACAGTGCCTGGCACATAGTAAGCATTATAGAAATGTTAGTTATTATTATTATTATTAATCATTATCAGTACACACATTATCTAAAACCCACCTAAAAGACACTTGGCAAGACAGTTGCTATTCAGTTGTTTTTTTCAGTCATGTCTGACTCTTCATGACTCCATTTGAGGTTTTCTTGGCAGAGATACTGAGATGGCTTTCCATTTCCTTCCTCAGCCCATTTTACAGATGAGGAAACTGAAGCAAACAGGGTGAAGTGACTTGCCCAGGTTCACACAGCTGGTAAGTGTCTGAGGCCAGATTTGAACTCAGGAAGATAAGTCTTCCTGACTCCAGGCCTGGTGTTCTGTGCACTATGGCGCCACCTAGTTGCCCATCTGACAAGACATTAATGCACTATAGGTGGACTCATGGGTCCAGCCACACTGAAAAGCAATTTAAAAACATGCCTTTGGGCAGCTAGATGGCATAGTAGATAGAGCACCAGCCCTCAGGAGGACCTGAGTTCAAATCTGGCCTCAGACACATAATATTTCCTAGCTGTGCGACTCTGGGCAAGTCACTTAACCCCAATAGCCTCACCAAAAAAAAAAAAAAAGCCCATGCGTCAAAAGTCACTACCCTTTGACCCAGCAATGACACTACTAAGCTTATGAGTTAAGGAAGGTAAAGTAATTGCAAACCTTAAAGTACCATACAAGTGCTAGCTGTTATTATTATTATTGTTGTTGTAACTGAGATTAAAAATTGGTAAAAAAGAATCATACGTAGAAAATTATCTGCAACAACTCTTTTTGTAGTGACAAATAAACAGAAACTAAGAGAATATCCATCAGCCAGATCAAAACATACAATCAGAAAAAGACAACAAAGTCAAGGCTCCTACATCCAAAGCCCCCAAGAAAAATATGAATTGGTCTCAAGCCATGGAAGAGCTCAAAAAGGATTTTGAAAATCAAGTAAGAGCAGTAGAAGAAAATTGGGAAGAGAAATGAGAGTGATACAAGAAAATCATGAAAAGTGAGTCAATAGCTTGGTAAAAGAGACAAAAAAATACTGAAGAAAATAACACCTTAAAAAAAAACATACTAGGCCAAATGGTAAAAGAGGTACAAAAAGCTAATGAGGAGAAGAATGCCTCAAAAAGCAGACTGGCCAAATGGAAAAAAAGGAACAAAAATTCACTGAAGAGAACTCCCTGGAAAGTAGAATTGACAAAGTGGAAAAGGAGGTACAAAAGCTCACTGAAGAAGATAATTCCTTATAAATTAGAATTGAGCAAATGGAAGCTAATGACTTTATGAGAAATCAAGAAACAATAAAACAAAACCAAAAGAATGAAAGAATAGAAGACATATGAAATACTCACTGGAAAAACAACTGACATGGAAACTAGATCCATGAGACATAATTTGAAAATTACTGGACTACCTGAAGGTCATGATAAAAAAAAAAGAGCCTAGACATCATCTTTCAAGAAATTATCAAGTAAAACTGTCCTGATAGTACAGAACCAGAGGATAAAATGGAAACTACAGAAATCCACTGATCACCTCCTGAAAGATCTCAAAAGGAAAACTCCCAGGAATATTACAGCCAAATTCCAGATCTCCCAGGGCCAGGAGAGACTATATTATAAGCAGCCAGAAAGAAACAATTCAAGCATTGTGAAGCCACAGTCAGGATAATTCAAGATTTAGCAGCTTCTACATTAAAGGATCAAAGGGCTTAGAATACGATATTCTAGAAGGAAAAGGAGCTAGGATGACAACTAAGAATCACCTGCCCAGCAAAACTGAGTATAGTCTTTCAAGGGAAAAAATGGATATTCAATGAAATACAGGACGTTCAAACATTCTTGATGAAAAGACCAGAACTGAATAGAAAATTTGACTTTCAAATACAAGTCTCAAGAGAAGCATAAAAAGATAAACAGGAAAGGGAAATTATAAGGGACTTAATAAGATTAAACTGTTTATATTCCTACATGGGAAGATGATACTTGTAACTCATAAGACCTTTCTTATTGTTAGGACAGAATAGAAGGAGTATATAGACAGAGGGCACAGGTCTGAGTTCAGTATGAAGGGATGATATCTAAGAAATAAAATTAAGGAAATAAAAAAAGGAAAGTACTGAGAGAAAGAGAAAGGGAGAGGTAGAATGAGGTAAATTATCTCACATGAAAGAGGCAAGAAAAAGTTTTTACAGTGGAGGGGAAGAGGGAGGAGGTGAGGGGGAGTGAGTGAACCTTACTCTCATCAAAACTGGCTCAAAGAGGGAATAACATACACACTCAACTGAGTATAGAAATCTATCTTACCCTACAGGAAAGTAGGAGGGGAAGGGGATTTCAGAAGGGAGAGGAGAATAGAAGGGAGGGCAGATTGGGGGAGAGGTAGTCAGAAGCAAAACACTTTTGAGGAGGGATAAGGTAAAAGGAGAGCAAGAATAGAATAAATGGGGGGAACAGGATGAAGGGAAATACAAGTAATAATAAGTGTGAAAAAAATTTTGAAGCAAGTTTCTCTGATAAAGGCCTCATTTCTCAAACATATGGAGAGAAATGAGTCAAATTTATAAAAATAAGAGCCATTCCCCAATCAATAAATGATCAAATGATATGATCAGTTTTCAGATGAAGTAATCAAAGCTATCTATAGCCATATGAAAAAATGCTCTAACTCACTACTGATTAGAGAAATGCAAATTAAAACGATTCTGAGGCACTACCTCATACCAATTAGCTTGGCTAACGGGACAAAAAAGGAAAATGACAAACGGTGGAGGGGATGTGAGAAAAATGAAACATTAATGCACTGCAGGTGGAGTTGTGAACTGATTCAACCATTCTGTAGAGCAATTTGGAATTACGCCCAAAGGGTTCTAAAACCATGCATATCCTTTGACATAGCAGTACCACTACTAGGTCTGTATCCCAAAAAAGATAAAAAACATAAAAGAAAAGGACTTATAAGGACAAAAATATTTATAGCCGCTCTTTTCTGGGGACAAAGAATCGAAATTGAGGAGATGCCCATCAACTGGAGAATGGCTGAACAAACTACAGTATGTGATTTTGATGGAATACTGTTGTGCTATAAGAAATGATGAGCAGGTTAGTTTCAGAAAAAGGCCAGGACTTACATGAGCTAATACAAAGTGAAAATGTACTGTGTACAAAGTAACAGCAATATTGTAAGATGATCAGCTGTGAATGACTTAGCTATTCTCAACAATACAATGATACATGATAACTCTGAAGGACTTACGATGAAAAATGCTACCCAAACAAAGAACTGACGATGTCTGAATACAGACTAATGCATACTTTTTTTTTCACTTTATTTTTCTTGAGGTTTTTTTGTCTACGTTTTCTTTCACATGACTATTATGGAAATGTTTTGCATGACTACACACGTATATCCTATATCAAAATGCTTGCCTTCTCAATGGGGGGTGGGGAGAGGATGGGAGAGAATCTGGAAGTCAAAGTTTTAAGAAAGAATGTTAAAAATTGTTTTTGTGTGTAACTGGGGAAAAAAATTAAAAATAAAATTTAAAAAAAAAATGAAATGGGTTTTCCCAAACATTACTAATTCACATCAGTTGGGAAGGGCAACTAGTATGAAATTCAGAGCCACTTAAAAGAAAGGATCTTAATTAGAAATAATACAATTTTGAGAGCAGTAAGGAACTTTTATGATCAGATAGTCCAGTGACCCCCTTTTACAGATGAATAAATGTGAGGGCCCAAAGACGTTAAGGGATTTGCACAAGATCATACAGTAGGTTTGCTCAAGAGCTAGCTATAAAACCTCGGTACCTAGCCTCCTTGCCTGGGGCTCTTTCCACTACAGGCTCCTTCAAAGACACATAAGCACCACAAATAACAGGTGCCCAGCTCCTCTTCAGTCAGAGGTCCTGCTAGACCTGCTTCTTGGCACCTCCTCCCTCCCCTCCCCCCAGCTATTCCCCCATATTCCTCTCCAAGCTGCTGGGTACCACAACAGGAAACGGCTCCCCCAAAGGTCAAAGCCTCAGTCAGTCATAACCTATGAAAGCACAGACGTGAACGACAGGAAGGACAAAGAAGATGGGCAGAAAAGTGAAGTGTGTCTGTAGTACCTCAACTCTCCCAAACGCACAAAAGTTACAGAAACCAAAAGGAACCCTAGGGGGCACCGAGTCCAATGCCACCACTTTACAGATGAAAAATCTGAGACCAAGAGAAGTTCAGTAATTCCTCTATAGCATGTAACCACTACATCATTCTGCTTCCCACTGAAACCATCTAACTAGAGGAGAGAAGCTGGTTTCACTGATACAGGGAACTCCCAGAGGAGGTACCTCCTGCCAATGCAGGTGGGCATCTTCTCTACAGCACAGCTCAGAGTCTCAGAAAGTTGCCTTCAGCACTAACGGTTAATTTTTTTTCAAGCAGTTTATGTAGTATTAGAAGTAATTGTTATTTAAATAGTTGGCAGAATTCACCTGCAAATCCATTTGATCCTGGGGCTTTTTTCTTTCTTAGGGAGCTCACTTATGGCTAGCTCAATTTCTTTTCCTAAGAAAGGGTTAAGTATCACTATGATGTTAGATGAACTGCCCAAAGTCATTCAGCCAGCACCTAAGAGAAGGTGAGACATTAACCCAGATATTCCTAGCTTTGGGTTTGGGGCTGTATCTGCCACACCACATGACCTCACACTGAAAAATTAGGGGATGGGGATAGGAAAAGGACTTGAGATTTCACTGGCATAAGAAACTCCCAGATGAACAAACTCCCTCTACCAATGCAGGCTGGCAGCTCCTCTACAGCTTGGAATCTTAGAGAAACCAATTAGATTGCTATCAACGCATGATCCACAGGAAAGTTTATCATTTACTGGCTTCACAAACCCTACTGGTCTTCCCATCTGCCAAAACCTTTTCCAAGCAAAGAACTGGAAAGAAAATGGGTACCTGCTGACTGAGGAACAGTTGGATAAACTATGGTATAGAAATGTGACAGAACATTCTGCAATGTAATTGTGTCGTAAGAAACGACAAGTATAAAGAATCCCCAAGAAACTTGGGAAAACTTTGATGAACCGGTACAAAATGAAATGATCAGAATAAGGTCAGTCACATAATAGCCACAAAGACATAAAGAAAACACTTCAGAGGAAAGGAAAGACATCAGGAGACAAAAGAAAAAGACAAAAGGAAAGACACAAACTGAAAGACTTCAGATGAATGAAAAGGAAGTGTGCCTCCCTCTTTTCATCAGAGAGGTAGGGGACTACAGGTGTGAAATGAGGTATACACTGCAGCCATGTCCAGTGCATTGACTCATTTTATTTACCTTCTTTGTTATGAGGGAGTGATCTTTGTGGGCTGGAATGAAGTCCTAGAAAAGTAGCAGTGATGAAAAAAAAAGTTAACTGAAATTAAAAAATCAATTGAAAAAATTGAAAAAAAAATTCAATATTTTTTTTTCATCTCTGCTTACAACATACTCCCTCTTCAGGCAGTAAGGAGGGACATTTCCACTGATCAGAGGAAAAGGCAAGTGGAAGGAGGGGACAGATAGTTCCAGAGAGAGGCACTGCATTTAAACATTTACTAGACGCAAGCCTTACCTCATCTCCTTCCTTTCCTTTTTCCATTCTTGCAAAATCATCTGTGATGTATCATCTCTGTGAATCTGAAGAATAAGAACGTAGCTGTTAGAGCTGTGACTGGTGTTTTTGGTGCATACGTGTGTGTGTGTGCATGTTCAGTAATCAAAGTAAAAACAAATCGGACACAAACCAAAAATCTGCCTTCCCCCAGGGTGCTTTCTTTCCACTGAATCTCCTAATTCATCATTACATTATTATGATTCATACTTCTTCCACTGGGGTCTTTCACAGATACCAGATCATGGCATGGAAGCACTCTGGGTTCTCAAAGACACAAGGTCTGGCCTTTAGTCCCCCCAGGATGGAAACATTTCTACTACAAGCGATGGGACTGTAGCCATACAAGGACCAGCCTGCCTAAGGGCACAGGATTTCATCACCAGAAGGGCGACCACCAAGTGATATGTTTTATTTTGGCTGTAGCAATTGATGAAACCATCTCCTAAAATGAAAAAAAAAAATCTGAGTAGCATTGGCAGGAAGCCCCCACCAATGGAACAGGAGATACCTTATCCAAGGATAAGGAATAGGCTAAGGGGAAAGGATGAGGCATGGGGGTAGAAATGAGACTAGCGGCTTGATTCATATAAGAAATTCCTGGCTAAGGAAATTTCCTCTAACAATGCAAATCAGCACCTTCTCTGAAGCTAACAATCTTAGGGTTGCCTGGGAGACCAAGAGGTTGTTGAGAGTTACACAGATAGTAGAGGTCAGAGGTTCCATTACCTGCTCTGTTACTATGGCCCTGGGCAAGTCACTGAGCCCTCTGGGCTCCTCCTCTATAAAATGAAGGATGAGATGAGGTGACCTTTAAGGAGTCCCCCTCCAGCTTAAATCTATGATCCTATGGGTCTTTTGAGGAATTCAAGTAACTCATGTTTATAGTATTTCATCACTATCAACTCCCTATCTCATTCCCCACAACAGCAAATTGCTTAACTTCTCTTCTCTTCCACCCCAGTGCCATGCTTACAACAGGGGACTTAGCTTCCTGCTTCCATGGGAAAATGAAAGGCAGGCAAAGTGGGCCCGCCAGCCCACTTGCAGCATCATCACCCACTCTCCTCTCCTCTCTTGCGGCCACAAAAAGTAAATCCATCTCTCAATAGCAGATGGATCACACACTGAATCCATGGGCACTCTTGAGGGCGACCCAAACCAAATTAAAATGTAATTGGGAGAGATCTGTGATCATGATTACACAGGATATTACAATTATAGTAACACTGTAATTATAAAATACTTAAATCTATAATAATCTATAATACATTACAAAATAAAATACAGATAGTAATACATTTTAATACTAGGTCAATATGCAGCCCAGAGGGCTCTTTTTTCTATAAATCAGTGGCCCCCATTTCTATATGAATTTGATGCCACTGCTGTAGAACATTATTCCCATCTCCTCCCTCATCAGGTCATAGAATCTTAGGATTTAGAGCTGCAAGAGACTTTACAGATTATCCAGTCCAACCTCCTTGTTTGGCAAATGGGGAAACTGAGGCCCAGAGAGGTCACAGGACTTTAGGATTTTGAAGTGGAAAGGATGTTACAGATTGTCCAGTCCAACCCCCTCATTTAAAAAATGGGTAAACTGTGGCCCAGAGAGGCTATTAACACAGGCTCTAAGTAGCATAGCCAAGAGTCCAACCCAAGCTGAATGATTTACCCAAGCTAACTCTGATAGAGCCTGGACTCAAATGCAGGTCCCTGACTGCAAATCTAGTCTTCTTTCCCCTGTACCCAAACACCTCTGGAATCTACTAAGATCAGAGTCCTGGCCTCAAATAAACCTTCTTCTGATTTCCCATTCTTAGCTCAGGCCATCTCTGTTTAAATATGCACCATTCAAACACAAAGGCACCCAAAGGAAAAGCAGATGTGAACCCACACTCAGCTGATCACAGCTGACGTCCACCACATCAAAAGAGAATGCCAGCCCCAAAGCTACCCCAGCAACCTAGCCAGCCTCACTTCAGAGTCCCAAAGGCAGAAATGCAGTAGTCACAGGGGATAGTCAGCAACAGGTGGCTTCTCCCCTCCCCTCCCCTTCTTCGTCCTCCCTCTCCCTCCCTCTCTCTCTCTCTCCCTCCCCTTCTTCCATCCCCTCTCTCCTGTTTGGGTAGAGAGTAGGAGGGAGGGCACACGTTATTTTAGAAACCTAAGTCAAACACCAAACAGCTGAGTAGCCCTCTCTGGAATGCCAGCTAGAAACCTTCTTCTACTATATTAACCAAGGTCATCCACCCCACTTCTGACCATCATCTGTTCAAGACCAGATGCCCAAACAGCACCTCCCAAATTGGGCCTTTCCTGATCTCTAGCCAGCCCCTCCCCCACTCGCCACCCCCATACATACACTCTCCTCCCCACTCCCGCCCCCAACCAGAAACTGCATGGACATATAGTCTGGATTTACTTGTCTGTGTATATTTTCCCCAATAGAATGTAAGCTTCTAGAGGCCAGGTCCTCTTTATTTTTGTATTAGTATCTTCAGTAAGTGTTTAATAAATGCTCACTGACTGACTGAACTCCAACTATTCAGGCCCTCATATAAAGTAATGAAATTGATCTTTTCTAAACAAAATATACCAGGATTTAGAACAACCAAAACTAAGCTGGTCTTCAAAGACTTAGTACAAAGAGGCTGGCATTCACCTTTCAGAGTCAGCTTACGAAACATGTAAGAAAATCAAGTTCATTATTCAATAGCCCTGGCCTCATTTTGTTGCTTTTTTTTAAACTACCTTTCTCCTTACCCCCCCAAAAAATGTATTACCCAGCTTGACCATAGATCTTATTCATGAGAGCTGGCTTCAACTGAGGCCGTTCTTGCTAAAAATTCAAATGTACATTGTGCTGGGCCAGGACGCTGGTGGAATTGGGGAAGCTTGAGGTAACCCCACCAGTTGGGACCATTAGGACCATTTGTCCCAGTTTGTCCTTAGGTCAAGGGTTCTTAACCTAGGGCCCACTGACCAGTTCAGAGATAGACTTCCAGGGGTCTGTGAACTCAAATGGAGAAAAAAAAAATTACACCCACTATCTTCCAATCCACTTTCTTTTAGTCACCTTTGTAATCTTAGATGTTTTATTTTATGCATTTAGAAATCTCATGCTGAGGAGTTCCATAAGCTTTATCAGATGGCCAAAGAGCTGATGGCAGAGAGAAGTTAAGAATCTTATCCTGGGCACACTGGGAATCTACCAGCTGTAGGTGATTCACCGCACCAGCCATGGCCCATACATCTTCAAAGCCCTGCTGCCCATGAATTTACCCAAAAGACCTGAGGCCTGGGCTCTAGAGGCAATTCCAAGAGGAGGTCCAGCCTCACAGAACTACAGAAGGTCTGAATTGGCAGGATGCATGGAGGCTGTGTAGACCAAACCAAGATGGGACAAAAGTCCCCTCTGTCCTATTCCCGACAAGTCTCTGCTTAAGGCCCTCCAGTAATGAAGAAGTCACTATCTCCCGAGGGAGACTCTTCTGCTGAGGCTGAAAAAATAGCGTCACACAACTAGTAAGTACCTGGAGCAAAATTCCAACTCAGGAGTGACTTATTCTGAGGTCCAGCTCTATAACACCTAGCTCCCTAGGCAAGTCAAGGACTCAAGAGGTCTACTTTTCTACAAAGAGAGGCTTCTACAAAGCATCTGGGATTCTCACAAAGCAGTGCATATACATACACACACACACACACACACACACACACACACACACACACACCCTGTTTATACTCTCACTACATGGGCTAAACACATGTTATAAAAATATCAAGGGCAGCTAGGAAATCCATGAAGGAAAGAATGACAAAACAGGGAGAAGACAAGTGTCCATGCCAGAGAAGAAAACAAAACCAGTTTTGCCAAAAGGCAAAGCCAAAGCCACTGAGGATATCTGCTTTCCCCTGAGAAGAGAGGATGCATGGCAGCCCTCCTCTCCAGGCCTCAGGAGCCTCTGCTCACTACTCAGGTCTTACTCCCCATGGCCAGCCAGGTGCTTGCCCTCCTTTCCAAAAGTGAGGTTAGGAGTTAAAAACCCTAGGAAGGCTGCCCTGGGTCAGCCAAGGGAGAGCAGCTGCTCTGTGCCTCTCATCCTGGGGGAATCAGGATCATACTAAGATTGTACCGGTCTATCCAGACTGAAAGAAAAGGGAAAAGGGGGCGGGGGAGACTCGAGCTCCCCAGAGAAGAAAACAGCACAATGATGTGCTGGCCTCTGTCATGAGGACTTCTTCCATGAGGGGAAGGAAACTGACAGGTTTAAATTTATATTAAATGTAAATTGTTTATATTATCACCACATTATTCTTTAGAAAGATTACTATTAATAGCATTATTAATAATTACAAGTATTGATTTGTTTTATTTGATATAATAAGTTTATTCTCTACATTAATTATTTAAATTCTATGAAATACCATTTAAATATTAAATACCATTTTTAAAAAGCTCTGAAAGAGTGAGAGAAGCACAAATCATATGGTCATATACTGGGAGCCAGAAAGGACCTTAAAACTACCTTAATCCAATCTCTCATTTTGCAAATAGAGTCAGTAGAGTTGAGATTTTAACCTAAGGTCCTCTGACTCCACACCCAGCACTCTTTCCACAATACCACACCCTGGACAAGCACTGAGGAGTGAATGTCAAGTCAGAAGACACAGGTTCAAATCCTGATCAGCTCTGACATTGACCAGATGTGTGCTCCTCAGCTAGACATTCTATTTCTCCGAATCTCAGTCTTCTCATACATAAACTGGGGACAAGAAGACTTGTGGCATCTATTCCTAGGGTTGTTGTGAGGAATGCACTTGGAGCTTAAAGATACAGAGAGAAATGCGAATTATTACTCTGTCTTTTGGGCAGTGTTGGCACCTAATAACTGCTGATGGAAATCATTTTGGTGCAAACAAAGGACCTGGGGCAGCCTTCCAGGTAGCCACGAGGGCCAATGGCAACATCCTTTATTATTGTAATGACAGTCGTTAAAAATAAATCCCTTATATATAAAAATACATTTTACCTCATTTGATTGAATTCAACACCTATTAAAATCCCACTTAGGCATTGTGTGATTTGGTTCTGTCATATAGTGAAGAATCTTTTTTTGTTTTTTTGAGGCAGACCAGAGCTTTCATTGGCAAAAGAAACTCTCTGTGAGGAGGCTCCTTCAAACCATGCAGATCACTACGTGTTTTACAACTTTTAATCTCAGAAAGTTGCACTAAGGTAGAGTGACTTGGCCAGGGACGCTCAGCTGGTATGTGTCAGAAGCAGAACTTTAACTCATGTTCTCATGACTCCAAGGCCAGTCCTCTATATACTATGGAAATTTGCCTCATAAAGGCTGTGAAAAAAAAAACAACACCTTACTTAGAGATAAAGAATAATCCAGCCAAATGACGGCTGCTTCTATGTAAAATGGCATTTTTTAAATGTGTTTTTTTAATTTTTGAGGCAGGGAGAGTCTCAGCTTGTGAGTTCATTGTTATAGGGTGCTCCCAAGTGAGGAAACTCCCTTTCTATCAATGCAAATCTGTAACTATCGCCTTAGAAAGTGGCCTGGGGGTCCTGACTGGTTATGTGTCCCAAAGTCAGTATGTGTCAGAAGCAGGACTTAAACCACATCAACTCTATGCATTATGTCAACCTTCCTCTCATGGTAGACCTACAATGGGGAAGAAAGCACAGCAGTGAAATTTACACCCTTCCCTAAGATTTACAGGAGGTTTGCCCTATGGGCAGAATAAAATGAAAAGGTTTGTTGGATTGGCACATAATTATGGATAGACAGTGACATAATGCTAGAGCAGGGAAACCTGCGGCTTCAAGGTCACATGTGGCCTTCTAGGTCCTCGGGTGCAGCCTTCTGACGGAGTCAAAGTTTTACAGAACAAATCCTTTCATTAAGGGGATTTGTTTTGTGAAGTTTGGATTCAGTCAAAGAGGGACACTTGAGGACCTAGAGGGCCACAGGTTCCCCACCCCTGTGCTAGAGTCTGAATCCTGTCTCCGCTGCTTTCCAGCTACATGACCTTGAGTAAGTCCCTCAACCACAGTGAGCCTCAGCTTCATCTGTAAAATAGGAATAGTAACCACCTTGGATACCCCCCTCACAAAACTGTCCTTTAAAATACTACATAAATGCCCATGACTTTTATTATATATTTTCAAAGCTATCCATGGCATAGGGGATATAGAGCTGGCCTTGGGTTAGAAAGGTCTGGGTTCGAGCCTGGCCTCTGACACATCTTAGCTATGTGACCCTACGCAAGTCCCTAAGACTAGAGATTGCAGAAAAGTACCAGACTGCATTGGCAGAAGAATCTTCCTCATCCAGAAGTCTCTATAGCAATGACATCATGGGTCCAGTTGCTATCCCACTGCACTGAATATATCTGATGCGTATCTAAGTGTTTATGTACTGTCTTCTCCATTAGAATAAAAGCCCCATTAGAGTAGGAGTTATTTCATTTTTGACTTTGTATCCCCAGGGCCCAGCACAGGGCCTGAATTAATTAATAAATGCTTATGGATTGATGGATAAATCTTTGAAGTAATATTAGGCAATTTAAACATAAGAATCAAATACAAAGCTAATGAACAGCTGGTTCTAGCAGATGGGTTTTGTTTTGTTGTTTTTCAGAAAGAAAATCAGGGAAGGCTTTACAGAGGAGAGGTCACCTTGGAATACAAAGAAACTGCAATTGTTGAAGTCACTTTCAAGGTCAAGTTGGGCTAATGAAACATATGAAGGAGACACCCGACCAAGGGGCAGATGATCTCCCTGCCGGCCACCACTAGAAGCCAGAAGCCGAATCACAGACTCTTGGAGCCTGGAGGGCCCCACAAGACCCTGGAGTCTCAGCTATGTTATTTTCTAAAATGGGAAAAAACAGTGGCTGGGCCGACACGTCAAAGAGGCTTCCTGACTGAGCTAAAGCAGGGTTTTCAGAGGCCCTTTCATGGAGCTGGAGCTGGAGAAGGTCAATAAAAAAAAAATCCATCCTCAGTGATTTATCTGTAGTCCCTGAAAATGATCTAAGCCTTGTGTAGCCTAACCTTAAACAGCAAATACCTGAAATGACTTGAGCTGCTGTAATCCCTCTAGACTTAAGGAGGAGAAGAGAAGAAAAGAGGAGGGAGAAGAAAGAGAGAAGGGGAAGGGAAAGGAGAAGAGGGAAAGAGAGGAGAGGGAAGGGGAGAGGGAAGGGGAGAGGGAGGAAGGGAGGGAGAGAGACAGAGAGACAGACAGACAGAGCAAGAGACAGAGAGAGAGAGATGGAGAGGGAAGGAGGGAGAGATGGAGAGACAGAGACAGAGAGATGGAGAGACAGAGATAAAGGGAGAAAGGGAAAGAGTGGAGAGAGACAGAGAGAGATGGAAAGGCAGAGAGATGGAGGGAGAGAAGGAGAGAGGGAGAAAGAAAGAAAAAAGAAAAAGAGACAGAGGGAGAAGAGGAGGAAGAGAGAGGGGAAGAGGAAGGGAGATAGAGAGAGGAAAAGAAGAGGGATTGAAGGGGGGAAATCCTGCAAACCTGCATCTGTTCCAATAATCCAGTCAGGGTCTGCAGCCAGGTCATGGTCTGAATGTATTGCTCCGTGTTCATGATCTTGATCTCTGACCTCAGCTCAGGAATGATGGCACCTGTCCGCCAGCCATGTTTCAGGGTCAAATCCTGCCAAGAATCAACACGAGTCTTAAGCTTCATTACCTCTTTCAGCCACAATCGGTGTTTGCTCAATGGTTTCTTAATTGTCAGGGTTAGTTATCAACCAAGCTGGATGAATGAATTACATTTCTTTACTAACATTATATCCCGGGCTTTAACTATTTCACCCCCATGAAAAGTTTCAGGCCTGGGAATCATGGCAACTGTGAGGCTGTCCAGATCCCAGAAAGCCACACTCTAGAAACAATGAGATGATAAAAAGGAATAGTTTGTTCTTATGCTAAAATAATAATAATAATAAAGCAACGGATAAACTTAAGTTCTAATAAATATCCCAGACCTATCACTTCTCTGTGTGACCTAGAAATTCACTTCACCCCTGTGGGCCTCAGATTCTTCATCTGTAAAAATGTGGAGATTGGACTAGGGTCACAGCTCTTACGTGGCAGAGCTGCAAATCGAACCCAGATCTTGGTACGTCAAATCTAAAACCATTTCCATCATATTGCCTCTTTTTTTTTTTGTTAGGATCTCCAATGGTGGTGAATTCTTATCCCTTGGGAGACGTCTGCCAAAAGCCAAACACTATTTGGTACAAGTCAGTGAATAAGAATAACCCTGGCACAACTGATGTTTTAATACATTTCTATGCAGCATGAACATTTGCAAAGTGTTTTCTGTACATCATCTGTATATTTCCTGTGTACTCCGTGCATTGTACATGCTCACAAACCTCTCTCAGAGGAGTAAACTTGAGGTACTGCCCATGGTCACACAGCTAGGAAAGGTCAGGATCTGAGATCTCAGACAAGAGCCCCCGATGGGTACTGGACTGGGCCAGTAGTGAGGAGCAGAGAGAGATGAGCCCGGATGGCCTGGGAAGGGGGATCGGGAGCGCACAGCTTTCAATCTCCCCAAATTGCTTGTGTCACAATATTTACATGCTGTTGCTGCTCCAGCAGGAAACATCAAGCTCAGATGAGAGATGGGATGACATCTCAAAGAATGATGGAAAACTCTCAGTGGGCACACCTCCTGCGGCTGATCCCCGATAACGGCTTGCGCTGGACAGCGGTGAATGAGGGGCTGGCTCGACAGCAAGCCTGAGACCCACAGAGGGACAGCTCAAGGGGTCCATTAGCATCAAGCCTCACCATCACCACCCCCATCTACACCAAAAGGACTGACTGGGAATCAGGAACACCCGGTTCAAATCCCACCTCAGACATTACAGGCAATTCACTCAACCTCTCGGTGCCTCGGTTTCTCCATCTGCAACCTGAGAGCAGGAGTGGATTCAATGGCCTCCAAGGTCCTTCCCAGTCCTACAACTATGATCGTATAATCTTATAAAGTTTCCTTACGGGAAAACAGAAACCAAAATCTCCCAGCAGACGAAGGCAGTGGATGGGGAGAGGAGTTTGGGAAGGGAGATCTGCATCTGTGGAAGAATGCACAGCACCCACGAAACCTCTGCTCCATCCAAGACAGATGGACGTGCCAGCCCAGCCCATAAAAGCAGGAATTTGTGGCACGCTGCCCAGGTTCCACTGCCTTCGCTGCTAAGGCTGCCTTCCATCTCCTCCGAATGGATCGTACATAGATCTCTCTATGTATAGGGCTGTTTTTGCCTCTTCTTGGCCTAGCACACAGTAGGCACTTAATAAATGCTTGCTGACTTGACTTTGCATCCCTTACACTATGCGTAGTGCCTGGCACGCTGTTGTTGTTCACTTGTTTTTGACCCCTCCTGGCAAAGATACTGCAGTGGCTTGCCATTTCCTTCTCCAACTCATTTTACAGATGAGGAAACTGAGGCAGACTGGGTTAAGTAACTTGCCCAGGGTCACACAGTGAGTGTCTGAGGCTGGATTTGAACTCAGGTCCTCCTGACTCCAGGTCCCCAGTGCTCTATCACCCAGCAGCAGGCAATTAATAAATGCTTACTTAACTGGAATTTGTGTTCCCAGTGCCTGGTATACAGCAAATAATTAGCCTGTTGATTGACTGACTGACTGAACAGCACTTGAAGAAAAATGGAAATTCCTTAACAGGCAAGAATGGTCCCTATTCTTCTATTAACATCAAAAGAAACAAGGCACTGTACATCAATTCACTTCTCATTAACTAGAAACATACCCTGACTATAGCCCACAGGATGACAGGATGAAAGGAAGGTTACTTACAGCCAGATCGCTGTATATGTGATCTCCAAAATACAACACTCTGGACCCCCTCCATCCAGTAAGCTTCAAAAATTCATATAAATTGCCCTGTAACAGAGAAGATGCAAACGTTACTGCCTGTGGGAAGTACAGACACATTCATACGCAGCTTTACAAAGCAACAGAGAGATAAGCAGTGTATCAGAGGGGACAACGGGCTGGCCAGGCCTTCAGAGAGTCCTGGGTTCAAGTTCTGGCTCTGACACATTCAGACAGTAGGACTCTGGGTCATGTCACTTAACCTGTGGGCGTCCCCAGGGAACTAATTCTCTAAAACTAAGCTGTAGAGCAGGTGAGATCTGCATTGATGGAGACAGTTCTAACCCCTGGAGTTCCCTACAATGATAAAATCAAGTGTGGACCCAACCAAAAAAAAAAATCTACACAAGTCCCATGTGCCTCATTTTAGTATTAGAGCTCCACCTGATTAAATAGCACTAAAACTGGGCACCCCAGGCCCACGCATGCCCCCTTTATCAGGAAGGGGACATTTCAACCTACTAGAAACCACTTAGTTGATACCTGCTGAATGCTGCGCCACATGAGAAAGCTATTTTTAAAAGGATATTTAACCTTCTCAATGGTATCTTAAATCTCACTTACTAAGGAAGCAACATGCATTTAAATGGGACAAATTTTAAGCTAGAATTCCACAGTTCAGATTTTATTTTTCTTCTACTTAATATAATAAAGTGGGGTCTTAGGCTCACAGCTTTAGAACTGAAAAAGACCTCGACTGGACCTAGTCCAACACAGCCATTTTTTACAGATGGGGAAACTGAGGCCCAGGAAGCTGAAGTGACTTGCCCAGGGCCCAGAGGTAGGATTATAGGGTCATATATGTAGAGCAAGAAGGGACTGCAGAGGTATCTAGTTTTACAGATGAGGAAACTGAGACCCATAGAGGGAGTGACTGAGCCATAGGCACACAGGGTATACGTAGCAGAGCCAGGGGCCCCAAAATGAACACTATTAACAGTGCCATACTGCAGACAAAACATATGATTAAACCCTGAACCACACCAAGATTGTTTTCTATGGTTAATATTTGCCAACCCTGAAATCAAGCAACGTGAAGGAATGAACAGAGGCAGTGTGGCACAGTGGACAGAGCACCAGCCTTGGAGTCAGGAAGCCCTGGTCCAAATCCCAACCTCTGACACAGACTAGCTGGGTGACCCTGGGCATGTCCCTTGACCTCTCAATGCCCCTGAAGACGAGATGCCCACCTGCAAGTTTCCACCATGCCCTGACAGAAGGAATTTCTTCACTTGGGAGCTCCCCATACCAATAAAAGCAAAGGTCTAATTTTTTTTGAAGAATGGACTTGATCCCTTTCTAATACCTGTTTGTAAATCTGGCCTTTCTCCAGCTTGTGGATCTTATCCCAGAGAAGTACACCTCTTTCAGTCACCTTACGGAATGGTCTAATGAGAGAAGTATTATGACATGTTAGTACAGGGTTTTGCTGTTGTTATTATTATTAATATTATCTTACAGTAGTTCACACGTACATAGCACTTCCAGGTTTTCAAAGCACTTTACAAAGATTGTATCATTTCAGTTTCAAAAGAATCCTGGGAGGTAGGTGCTGTTATTGCCCCAATTCTACAAATGAGGAAACTGAGGCAAACAGGGTTAAGTGACTTGGCCACGGTCACATAGCTAGTAATCTGGGGAAGGATTTGAACGCAAGACTTCCTGATTTCTGAGTCTACCATTCTTTCCCCTCTACCATGCCAGTCATCTCCCTATGTTATACTATTCCTGAATCCTCATAGAAGTTTAAAAAAAAAGGATCCTAAGTCTAGAACTGAGAGGGAGATCCGTGGCCATCTGGTCCACCCTCTTTTACAGATGAGGAAACTAAGGCCTTCAGACAAGTGACTTGCAATTAGCATATATAAGAGGTAGCATTAGAACCCGGCTCCTCTCACTCAAGTTAATTCTTGTTCAGTCGTTTTCAGTTGTGTCCAACTCTTCGTGACCCCATTTGGGATTTTCTTGGTAAACATACTGGAGTAGTTTGCCATTTCCTTCTCCAGCTCATTTTACAGATAAGGAAACTGAGGCAAACAAGGTAAAGTGATTTGTCCAGGGTTACACAGCTAGGAAGTGTCTGAGGCTAGATTTGAACTGAGGGAGATGAGTCTCCCTGACTCCAGGCCTGGTGCTCTGTGCACTATGGCACCTCCTAGGTCAGTATTTAAAGTCTCCGTAAACATGAACCAGCCCCAGAATAACCTTTATAATCTGAAAATGAAGGAGGAAAGAGTCACCATCACCAACCAAGTAGAAAAAGCAGTCCTTAAGGGCAGAGATGGTTTTGTTTGTCTTTGTATTCTTGAAGCCTACCACAGTGTCATGCCAAGAAGAGTCCTTAGGGTTCACACCAAAAGTGAACTCCAAGATGATGGCCTGGTGGCTGGGAGGATAGAAAGCAGGGCTCCCAGGAAGTACCAGTCTCTTCCCCCTGGCCTTGTTGCTGCCATCACAAAGAGAGGAACATGGCGGATAAAAGGCCAGAGAAGGCTCTGGGATCCACCTCCTTCCCAGGTTCAAAAGTTACTAAGCAAGCATTTATTAATCACTTACTGTGTGCTGGGTACTGTGCTAAACTCTGGCTGTACAGAAAAAAGCAAAGACAGTCCCTGTCCTCAAAGCTTCCCCAGTAAGTGGAAAGATAACATATAAATGAATACATGCATCCAAGATGGAGGGCAATCTGGGAGCGGCGATTTGGAGATGAATAAAAGAGGTCTGGGAGGGGCAGGAGGAAGGTGTAGATTCTGAAAACCACAAAAGTTTGATATGGAACCCCAGAAAAACGCTGGGAGAGATTACTGAACAGATGTCTGGGGAACATGGAGAGAACTGATGCTACAAAAGCTAGCCTGGATTCACTCAGTACAAGCCACGCCACACTACCCACGTTCCCTGCTTTACGGGGCCACCGCTGGTTAAGTGACACAGAAATATCCATCAGTACATTAGTTAAGCACCTACTACACGCCAGTCACTGTGCTCAGCACTGGGGACACATGAAGACGTTCAGGACCCTCAACAGGCTTACACTCTATTGGGTGCATATAGATTTGCCCAAGACATTTAACAAAATCTCCCCTGATGCACTCAAGGACAAATGTGGGCTGACAATAGCCCTAGATTCCCAGATGGGTGAAGAGTTTATTCATGAGTCAATGTCAGCTGGAAAAAGTCTCTCCCCAATCAATAAACAATCATCATTCATTAAGAGCCTTCTCTGTGCTATCACCAGAAGGCTAATCACCAAAGATACAAAGGAAAAACAAGATAGTCTTTGCCCTCAAAAAGCTTACACTCTAAGAGGCTTTTATCAAGCACCTACTATGTACTGAGTACTCTGCTAGCCACTGGAGATAGATAACAAAGGCAAGAGAGCTCTTGCCTTCAAGGAGCTTACATTCTAACAAGCAATTATTAAGCACCTACTATACGCCATAGCAGACAGCTAGGTGGCTCAGTGGATAAGAGTGCTGGGCCTGGAATCAGGAAGACCTGAGTTCCAATCAGGCCTCAGACGCTTACTAGCTATGTGGCCCTGGTCAAGTCACTTAACCCTGTTTGCCTCAATTTCCTCAATCATAAAATGAGCTGGAGAGGAAAATGGCAAGCCACTTCAGTACCTCTGCCAAGAAATCCCCCTGACCAGCATGGTCCACGACGTCACAAAGAGCCAGACACAGCTGACCGACAGCAGCACGTGTCAAGCACTGGGCTGCCCCTAGAGATACCAGTCCTTGCATTCTCATAAGCATTTATTAAACACCTACTGTGTGCTCAGTAAACCCAGACAAAAGCAAAGCCATCCTTGCCCATGCCGCACACAAGTCAACTTATTTCTGCACAGTTCAGACGAAGGCCCTGAAGGCACACTTCTTGCTGTGCAGAGGACGGAGCTGAAGGCGACAGAACTCATGTGCTGAATGAATCAGGATTCAAGAATATTTCAACACTCTGGAAGGACAGGCTGGAACCAGGATGATGAAATGTACAAGAGAGAAATAAAGCCTCTGCACTGAGCGTCAAAAACCTCTTCCTTTTCAAAAAAAATCAACCACATGAGTGTATGTGAAAGGAAGTTGGGCATAACAAGAGTTCATGTAGAGGAAACAAAAGCAGGGGGCTTAACTGACTGTAGGTTTTATATGACCTCCTCCCCCGCGTAATGTCAATTTAAAAAGGATCATGCATACACAAGCAGGATTCGTAAAAATATAATGCCCAGGACAAGGGAGGTAACAGCCCCCCAGGGTCTTCTGCCCCACTCTTGACTAGTAGCAAAAAGAATTCTAGGAGAAGCACATGGTGTAAGGAAGAAAGAGAGGGCCCCAAAGCCAAGAAAACCCAAGTTCCAGATCTGCCTCTAACACATTCAGGCTGCGTGACTTTGGACAAGTCATTGAACCTCTAAGTTCTCTGGACAACTCTCTAAGACTCTACATCAAAAAGAAGGTGCCAACCCGCAGTGGTAGAAGAAATGTCTTCATCTGGGAGTTTCCTAGACCAATGGAATCACAGATCCTATCCTTATCTCTATCCCTATCCTAAAAGAATTATACTTGCATTTATATTACACAGCTTTAAAGTTCAAAGTCTTTTCCTTATAATAACCCTGCAAAAGTATAGGGAACTCCCAGGTGAGGACACTCCCTCTACCAATGCAAGACGGCATCTTCTCTGAAGCTCATAAGTCTTAGAGTTGCCTAGAGCATTGACTGGCTAGGTGTCTTGTCCAGGGTCACACAGCCAATAGGTGTCAGGGGCAGGACCTGCACCCAGGTCTCCCCAAGCCAACTCTCTAGTTTCCATTCAGAAGCAACTCATATCATACTCATTACATGGATGAGAAATCAAAGAATTTTATTACCTTGTCCATGGTCACACAACTCTATTATTCCACAGCTGACTCATACCATGTCCATTTTTTGAATGAGAAATCAGAAATGTAGTGGTTTCCCCATGGTCACAAGGCTGGTAAGTGTTCAAGCCAAGACCAGAACCCAAGTCTTCTGACTCCAAGTCTAGACCGCTGTCTGCCATCCTGCGCTACCCACCATTCACATTCAGAGTACCAGGGCAAGCCGTGGAATCCATATCTTAAGACCATGGACAAAATGGAGTCTGTCCACAGAAGAGAGCAAACAGGATGATGAAAAGTCCTAAGAGGACAAGGAGGCCACTTCAAGAATCAGGATAAAAGAAGACCAGAGAGGGGAGATGTGGGAGTAGGGAATAAACCCTCACAGATATCGTCAGGCTTATAAAGGATTGTCATGCAGAAGAGGGTAAACAGTGTGTTTCTAGGTCAGAAACAAGAAGCTGTAATGTCATTCTGTCAAGGACTGGTGAAATCATCACAGTAGGGACTCTCTTTATAAATGGTGATCTGAACAGTAGACAGGACAACCTCCAACTTACTACACAAGCCTGGAAGTATGGCCCGAGGCTCAGAAAGGTTGCTTATAGAACACAAATGAGTAGATTGCAGGGAAGCAGATTCTGGTCTCAATACAAGGAATCCTTTTCCAACAACTGAAACTCCTACAATCAAATGGACTAAATTGTCAGGACTGAGCTTCCTGTCACTAGAAGCATTCAAGGAGAGTCTGTTGTATATATGGATTCCCATAATGGGTGGGAAATTGGATTAGAATCATCCTTTGTTGTTGTTGAGAGGTTTCAGTCATATCCATGACCCTATTTTGGGTTTTCTTGGCAGAGACACTGGAGTGATCTGACATTTCCTTCTCCAGCTCATTTTACAGATGAGGAAACTGAGGCAAACAGGGCTACGGGACTTGCTCAGGGTCACAAGGCTAGTAGACTTATCATTAAGATCCTTCTTATACTAAGATTCTGTGTCTCATCTTCATAAAACAAGCTAGACCCTAATCTAATATATGCAATTTTCTTATAAGCCTGACTCTGCAAGCCAATGATGAGCTCAGAACATTTTGATGGATGAGTTTTCACCACTCTCAGAAATCCTTTTCCAAAGGAGGTAAAAAAAAAAATACTTATAAGATAGGATGCTTGTGATTTCATCAATAAATTTCAGCTAAAGACATGCCCCAAACTGAGCCTTCATACTAGCGGTAAATGCCTAAAATCCAGCCTTCTGGGAAAGGAGATTCTCACCTCCGCCGGTCATTGAAGAAATTGGGCTTCTCCGCCTGAACAATCACAACGTCAAACAGATCCCGCCAGTCCTTCCCAACGATGTACCGCATTCCTTTGTCCCTAGAACATTCAAAGCCACATTGGCTCGATGTTAAAGTATTCTGATATATCCTTTCCAAGTTCTGAAACAAATTAGATTCAGCCCATCAAAGGAGGCACTATAGACTTACACGAAACTGCTAGGGCTATTGGTGATGAGGAACATCTTCTTGCCGTGATCGGCCAACTTGGCCAGCACCGCTCGGGTCTGCTCAGCGTAGCAGATATACTTCTCTAAGACAGAAACAGAGAAGTTCACACAGATGTTAAATTCACTGGCACGGAAGAGTGGACAGAGGACTGGACTTGAAAGTCAATAAGATGGGTTCAAATCCTTCCTCAGATACTTATGAGATGTATGACCCTAGGTAGGTCATTTAACCTCCTGACCACAGTCAACTCATCTGGAAAACTCTGGCCTCTTGGCTGTTCCCCAAACATGACACTCCATCACTCAACTCAGTGCATTTTTGCTGGCTGTCCCCCATGCCTGGAATGTTCCCCTTCCCTGTTTCTGCCTGCTGGCTTCCTTCAGGTCTCACCTAAAATCCCACCTTCTGCAAGAAACCTTCTCTCACCCCCTTTCATCTTGGTAGCCCTCCTCCACAGCCTGTACATATCTTGTTTGTGCATGGCTGTTCACGTGCTGTCTACCTCATGAGAATCTGAGCTCCTTTGCGGCCAGGGTCTGTTTTTGCCTTTCTTTCAATCCCCATGGCTTCGCACAGTGCCTGGCATATGGGAGGTGCTTAAAAATGCTCGCTGATTGGCTGGCCTCCAAGTCTGTGATCTACAACCCAAAAGGTATTTCCTGAGTGCCTGCTGATCAATTTAACAAGCCCGTGTTTTAGCACGCATAAGTTCCTAGGGCTGGTCAGGATATTGGGGGAGGCAGGGAAAGCGGGGCACAAGAAAAATAGAAGACACATCTAGCTGGGTGGACAAGACACATGAGATAAGCATAGAACAAGGACAACAACGAAGTATGACAGGGATAAAGTCTGGCCCTGAGATTTCATTGGGACAGAAAAGGTCCAGGTGATAAAACTCCCTCAACCAGCAGGTTGGGACCTTCTCCGACCCCTAGAATGTCACAGTTGCCCAGAGCACTGAAAAGTTAGGTGACTTGCCCAGGGCCACACAGCCAGGACATGTCAGACATAGGGCCTGAACTCAAGGCTTCCTGGTTCCAAGGCCAGGGTTCTATCCACTCTGCCACACTGCTCACCCACACCATGAATACAATGGGAGTTAGCCCAGAAAAGACAAGACTCAAGGGAGAGAATGTGGTACTTGTCTTCAAGTCTTTGGAAGGTTATCACCAAAAAATAAAAATAAAAAGGGCAGGTAGGTGGTGCAGTGGATAGAACACTGGCCCTGAGTTCAAATCCAGCCTCAGACACTTAACTAGCTGTGTGACCCTGGGCAAGTCACTTAACCCAGAAAGAAAGGAAGGAGGGAAGGAAGGAAGGAAGGAAGGAAGGAAGGAAGGAAGGAAGGAAGGAAGGAAGGAAGGAAGGAAGGAAGGAAGGAAGGAAGGAAGGAAGGAAGGAAGGAAGGAAGGAAGGAAGGAAGGAAGGAAGGAAGGAAGGAAGGGAGGGAGGGAGGGAGGGAGGGAGGGAGGGAGGGAGGGAGGGAGGGAGGGAGGGAGACAGAGAGAGAGAGAGAGAGAGAGAGAGAGAGAGAGAGAAGGAAGAAAGAAAAGGAAGAAAAGAAAAGGAAGGTTATCGCATAAAAGTCGGGATTAATGTTATCTCCCTGGTACTGGTCACTATGCCTCTTACTGAACCATCGATGTAGAAAGGGAAGGGACCTTCAAGGTCATCAAATCCAACTCTCTTATTTTACAGGCAACTGAGGCAATCAGAGGTTAGATGACTTGCCCAAGGTCACACAGCTGGCAAGTGTCTGAGACAAATTCGAACCCAGGTCTTCCTGACCCCAAGCCCAATGCTCTATCCATGCTGTTTGGCCCCAGAGGGCTGCATCAGGAGCCAAATGTAGAAGCATTTAAGTTGGACGTCTGGCAAATCCTTCCAATGATGAGAACCACCCAACAGTACAGACGCAGGCCGCCTTGGGAATCGGTGGGTTTCCTCTCACCGGCTGTCTTTAGACAAAGGACAGAAGAAGACTTGCTGAGTACGCTAGAGAGCGGATTCTTGTTCGGGGGCTTGGACTCCAGGGCTGGCAAGATGAACCAATGCTGGACTACTCTGGCTAAGAAGGGAGAATCTCCACATAGCGAGAATAATAATGATGGTGATAAAAATCCCTCAACTACAGGGACCTAGAAGAAGAAATGGAAACCTTGAGCGAATGAGATAATGTCCCTATCATTCCTGGCCAGGCTTCTCGGCTCCTGGAGCTGTCCCAAAGATGCTTCCTGTGAGTCTGCATGTGATGCCCTGACATCCCGGGGAGGCAAACACACAGAGGATCCAGAGAAACATGGAAAGACTTAGGTGAACTGATGCAAAGTAAAACAATATGCCCAATGACTGCAGCAATGGACCTGGAAAGAAGAACCACCAAATAATGGGCAATGAATGTGGGAAAATTCTCGAAAGCAAGCCTGGCCCCAAAGAAGACACAAAGGAAGACTCCTCTCCCAAGTCCTTCGCAGAGAAAAAGGCTGGAAGGGGGAAAGGGTAATAACATTGCACACAAGGTCAGTATTTTTCCTTTTATCCTTTTTAAAGTTTTATTTTTTTACTTAAAGTAAACATTTGCTAGATTGTTCCCCTTTTTTCAAAAAAAAATTGTTAACAAGAAACGGCTCTACAAGTGGAAATACAGATGATGATGTGAAAACAAAAGGTCTCAAATTCAAAGAAAGCCCCAGGGAGCAGCTTATACATTTCAGAGAAGAGGAGCTAGAGAGTCCTGGCTGTCCCCATCACAAAGGCAGGGCTATGCTGACCTCAAGTGTGCCCACTACATCAGACTGGGCTGAGAAAGCGGGAGCTGCCATGACAGTCCCCAACCCTCTCCCTCTGGTCTGTGCTACTCCCAGGATATGGATGGGAAGATGAATCCAGAAAGGCAAGGACGCAGGGAACGTGGCTCTGTTCTGGATTCATGGTGCCCGCAAATTCCAAAGGAATCTTAAGTTCACAGCTCTAGATCTCCAAGGCATCTCAGAGGCCATCTCCTCTAACACCGCCACCCCATTTTACAGAGGGGGCACCTGAGGCCCAGAGTCACCCAGCTAATAAGGGGTAGAGCCAAAATTCAAACTGAGGTCCCATGACTCCAAGCTCAAGGCTCTTTCCCAAGCAGGGAACCTGACAGGACACACCTCCAGCCACAGGTATGGGGCAAGAAGAAAGCAGAAGGCGTCTTCACAGAGAATGTGAAATTCCGAACTGTCAGGGTGGGGGCTTTTTGGTCCTTCCTTTGTATTCCCAGTCTTCGCTCAGTGCCTGGCACACAGCAGGCGCTTACCAAATGCACGTTGCCTTGACTCACCAATATCCGCTTCGATTGCTCTGTACATGATCCCTTTGGTGTGGACGTCTCTGATGGAGTCCTGGCAAAAGATCAACACGCTTTTAATCAGCCAAAAAAAGATCACTGAACAGTTTTAAGACGCACAAGCTAGACCCACCATCCAATCCAGCCGCCCCGAGAGTAATTACTGTCTCATCTACAGTTCTGGCAGCACTCTAAACACTGGTTTCATTCTCAGCTTTGTTCCTTTCCTTAAATACCTTCTGCTGCTGATGGGGAAAAAAAGCGTGTGCTCTGATGGGCATCAGTTTCAAAGCAATGCTCAGCATGGTGACTGAGAGGGTTGCAACTGATTGACCTCCTCCCATTTGGACAGTAGCCAGACCGGCTTCCTGGTCACCAGAGGAAAGAGACAACAATCAATTCAAGCCATCACAGGATCACATTTCAGAGCTGGAAGAGACCTCAAAGGCCATCAAGTCCAATTTGCTCATTTTACAGATGGGGAAACTGAGGCCCATAACTTGACCAAGCTTGTAGTACACAGCAGAGCCAGAATTTGAATCCAGGTCATAGGATCATCAACCTAGAGGTGGAAGGGACGTTAGAGCCCATCTAGTCCAATCCTTTCATTTTACAGATGAGGAAACTGAGTCCCAATGAATTTAAGTGACTTGTTCAAGGTCACAAAGAAAGACAACAGCAGGGCTGAGATTAGAACCCATGTCCTCTGACTCCGAAACAAAAGCTCTGTGCCCTACATCAAGCTCATCTTCTTTGGCCCTCTCCTTAGTCCCCAGTGATACATTCCCACCCCACCACTAGCAGGGAGATATACTTGACAGAGGGATCCTCTCTGGCCCAGCAGCTACAGTAATATGTTGACCATCCTCCATGCATCAAATCACAAGCAGAGCTTCACTGTGTTAATTTGTCCCTGGAATTTGGAGGTTCATGTCCCTTCCTGGCCCTGCCCAGCTAAAAGGCCTGAAAAGAGAGGCCAGAATCACCAAACACCTCCAGGTCAGAGTCAGCACTAGCCTGGCTGCTGAGGAGCCCAAGTCCAGTTAACATGGCAACATGGAGTCAAGCCAATGTACACTGCTACAGGGGCAACTAAACGGTGCAGTGGAGAGAGCACCCAGCCTGGAGTCACAAAGGCACATGAGTTCAAATCTGGCCTCAAAACTTCCTAGCTGTGCGACCTTGGGCAAGTCACTTCATCCTGTCTGCCTCAGTTCCTCATCTGTAAAATGAGCCAGTGAAGGAAATGGCAAACCATTCCAGTGTCTCTGCCAAGAAAACCCCAAGTGGGGTCATGAAGAGTCAGACATGACTGAAAACCAACACCACACTCCTATAGATGCTACAGAAAGGCTAAGCTCTAACACGAAGAGATGTGGCCAGGCTGGAGGGCGGTTAGTAACCCTGCATGGAAATTCTTTGGTCACCAACCTAGAAATCACTAATCCCCAAATTTACTTTTCCATGTAGGTTATTGCTTTCCTCTCTTTCTAGGTTAAAAACAACACAAAATAAAAAGAAACCCAAAAAAGCAGGCTATCTGCACATAAAGAGACAGGATTGTTGACTATATCCTTTCACTTAAAGATAAGTTTTTTCTTTCAAAACTGAATGCTGTGTAATCATAATAATTGTAACTAGCCCCCAAGTAAAGAAAATGCACCTCCTTCCCTTCCCTGAAGAAGTGGAGGACTGGGGGTGTGGAACAGGGCACATGCCATCAGACTCGGATTTGGTTTGCTTTGCTGAATGGCTTTTTTAATTGCTCTAAGCAATAGTTCACTAGATGTGAAGGAGGGAAGGGTCTATTTGGAAATGAAGGTGATATTTTTCAAAGATATCAATAAAAAGAGGGGGAGGGATCATGTCATAAAATTGTAATAATCAAGCTTGGCCCAAAGAAGGGAAGGAGGAAGGGAGGGAAGGAGGGAAACAAGAAAAAGTGATCATCGATTGGGTGACGTATATTATATGAATGTAATGCAATACTGTTGCAGCATAAGAAACAATGAAAATAAAGAATTTGGAAAAACTTGAGATTTGTATGAACTGGAACAGAACCAAGAAAATAATCTCTCTGATAAAATGGGGTCCCTTAAAAGCCCAAGATTCTCAAGCAAATGAAAGAAATCCAAGTTCTCCAGGAACACGTTTTAAAACCCAAAGCTGTGGAATGAGTCAAAGGCCTTTCCATCTCCTCAGCCAAGCCAGCCCCTTCTCCTTCTCCCCCCTCCCCCTCAACCCCCATCTCAGCCTCGACAGAACCTTGACATCCTTGTAGAGATGCACAGGCTCGTAATCAAGGTTGTTCTTCAGAAAATACTCATTGACGCAAGAAAGGAGGGTCATCTCTGGCAAGGAGAAGATGTCCATGAACTGCTTCATCGTGTTTCCTTGGGAGCTCTGCAGAGAGAGAGGAAATGCAGGCTTGAAAAGGGCACAGAGACACGGCCCGACCAAATGGAGGGTGGACTGCCTCTGGAGTTCAAAACTTGGCTCAGCCACTTCCTATCTACACAACTTTGGACAAGCCACTTAATCTCTTTGCTTCCTGGGTTCAAATCTTGCTTCTATCATTTATCACTTGTGTGACCTTGGGTAGATCTCAATCTCTCTGGGCCACAGCTTCCTCATCTGCACAATGCGGAAAGAAGACAAGCATGTATATAGCACCTACTACGTGCCAGGCACTGGGCTAAGTGCTTTACAAATATTATTTCACTTGAGAAAAATAAGGATACTGAACTAGAGATGTCAAACATGAGGCCTGCTACACCTCTAAGTGCAGCCCAAATCAGATTAAAATGTACCTAGGAAATATTCAACAAAATAAATAGAAATGCAATAAGACATAGATAATGTTCATGGGTGGTTTTCTCAGTCAACATGTGGCCCGCAGGGATTCTTGTGAATGATTCAGCGACCCCTGTTTCTAGTTGACACCGCTGGACTAGAGGACGTCCGAGGTCTTTCCATCTTTATGAGTCTACCTGTGCAATCTCAGGTAAATCACTTCACCCGTCTGGGCCTCAGATCCATCACCTCTCAAACAAGGAGATCCAAGAAGGGGCTTAAACATTTTTTTTATGTCATGGACTCACAAGCTTGTGAGCCTCCACAAAATTCAGTGCAACCTATGAATATGTTAATCCATCCATTGTTTTTCGTTCAGTCATCCTTTCATCATGTCAGACTCTCCTTGACCCCATTTGGGGTTTTCTTGGCACAGATACCAGAGTGGTTTGCCATTTCCTTCTCCACCTCATTTTACAGATGAGGAAACTGAGGTAGACAGGGTGAAGTGACTTGTCTAGGGTCACACAGCTAGTAAGTCTTTGAGGCCAGATTTGAACTCTGGTCTTCTTGACCCTAGGTCCAACATTCTCTCCACTGTGTGGTGTAGCTGCTCTACACCGTACACTACTTCTCCTGGCCAGTTCTCCAAAGGCAGAAGCAATATTCCATTACTGATATTAGCCTCAAAAGGTTTCTAAGACAGAAAAAAAAATGTCAATCTTTTCCCAATTACCTTTCCATAGAAGTCGCTCATTTGTTCTAGGGGCACGTGGGAGCCTTCGTACATCTCAATGACTTCTTCATCAGGGACGACACTGAGCCCTCTGGTAGTAAGAAGGGAAGACAGTTCAGTGATGGCGCAGCTGGAGATTTCTAACAGATTAGCCTTGGGAATAGAGCCCTAACTGCCTCCTGCATCCCGCACTACCAGACAAGGAAGGATTTCCAACCCCGGACCCATCACTGAGTAACCTGAAGGTAGTTAACGTCAGTCCCTCAGTTTCCCCATCTAGAATAAGTGGAGAAGTTACCACTTGCTACTTGCCTACCTCGAGGAGATTGAGGTTTTATATCTTTTAAACGTGGCAGCTTTGCGTGGTATGTAGGCCTGGAAGTCAGAAAGATCTGCATTCAAATCCTGCTTATATAATACATACTAGCTGTGCGTTCCAGGGCAAGATAGTTAACTTCTCACCGCCCCCAGAAAAGTGGGTTGTTCATTCTTCATTTTCAAAGACGACCAATGATATCATGGGGGTGATGTTGTGACATGGGAGTGAACTGGATTTCTTTTCTTTTTTTTTTTCTTTTTTTGGTGAGGCAGTTAGGGTTAAGTGACTTGCCCAGGGTCACATAGCAAGTGTCCGAGGCCACATTTGAATTCAGGTCCTCCTGGCTTTAGGGCCAGCACTCTATCCACTGCTCCACCTAGCTGCCCCTACAAACTGGATTTCAGCGAGGCAGAGTTACACAAAGTCATCAGCCTCATTTTCTCCTGGAGAGCCATGAGAGGGCAATGGGGCAGGACATAAATCAACACGACTGGCGTATCCATAGTGATGAAATCCAGACTCCCGAAATCAGCCAAGCAGAAATACTCCTCAACAAAATCAAGGGACTGGAACAACTGCCTTGGAAAAAAGGCCATGACGTTCACTAGAGATGAACAAAAATTTTCTCTCACCTGTACACAGTTCCCAGCTGGATATAATGAAATGCATCAATCTTCATCAATATGGCCTTTAAAAACAAACACAGTTCACATGGTAACTTTATTATAAATTTAAAAGAAATAGCAAGTTGTACGTAACAGATTTGCAGCTTCATGTACAATCATCTTTTTTATTATACTACGTTATGGAAATGCTTGTTTTATTCATAAATTAAAAATTTTAAATAAAAACATAAATAATTCAGAATGATCTCCATGTTTATGGAAAAGATTGCATTTGTCTTGGATGGACAAATGAAGGGATGTCATTACTAATACTATAACCATTCTCTCTCTAAAATAAGGAAGCAAACTTTTGCTTCTGATGGAGGGTAGGGACAGAGACTAAGCATTTATACAGGACTTACTATGTGCCAGGCACTGTGCTAAGCACTTCACAAATATTACCTCATTTGACTCTCACAATAACCCTAGGAAGTGGGTGCTGTTATTATCCCCATTTTTCAGTTGAGGAAACTGAGGCTAACAGAGGTTAAGTGATCTGCCCAGGGTCACACAGCTAGTAAGTGTATGAAGCTTCTGATAAGACACACATATCGACGTTACCACTATAAAGATAACTGCCCCTTTCTGGGTCTCCATTTCCTCATTTATAAAAGGAATGGGGTTGGGTCAGACAGCCTCTTAAGGTCCCTCTCAGTTCTATATCAATACAATCCTAGGAGCCTTCTCTGGGCTTCAGTTTCCCAATTTGTAAAATGAGAGGGCTGTACTCAAGGATCTCTCTCCCTCTGTTCATAGTGGAGCAGCCTCAGACAAGTCACTCTGTTTCTCTGGGCCTCAGGGCCTTTATCTTCAAATAAGGGCTAGAGTAAGTATTCTTCACTATTTTTGTGTCCTGGATCCCTCGGAAGTCTGGTGAAGCCTAAGCGTCCCTTCCCAGAATCATGTTTTCTTTTGTTTTGTTTTTTATTCATAATTGAAGGAAATGCTTGATTTCAGTTAGGTTAGGAAAAGTAAAGATGTACCTTTATTTTTGTATCCAACTTCACAGACCCCACCCCAATCTATCCACGGACCATTTTAAGATACATCATAACCAGGCAGGTTAAGAATTCTGCACCAGGGGACCTCTAATGTCCCTTTCAGTTCTAGATCTCTGATTCTGGGTGACCTTAGGCAGGTCACCTCTTTCTCTGGGCTTCCCAGGTTTGGACTAGAGAATCTAATTTTCCTTCTAATATGATGTCTAAACCTCTTATCACTGTGGAAGCCCCTTCTAGTAAGATCATCCCAGTCCCTCATGCCCACCCTCCTAGGTGACTTTTGTCCATGTCTCCATAAATTCTCCATGACAGAACCCACCCAACATACCACTGGCCTTCCACTGCCATACACGGTGAGCCCTAAAACAAAAGGCCCCCTCTACATAAGCATATGCATATGCAAGCAACTATCGCAGATATACACATTCGGCAAAAACCAAATGCTGCTGTAGAAACCAACACTCAAAGCCTGGCAGGTTCCTTTTAGACACTTTTGTCTATTAATAAGTAACAGAGTCCTACTCAAAGGACTGAAGATTGATGCTGTGAATGAATCTCTACTCCAAATCAGTCCATTTCTTTCTTCTTTTCACATGGCCTCTTGGAAAGAAATCCTTTCCAAAGTCATTTTGGATAATTCATACTAATTACCCCAAAACGCTAAAAGAAAATCATTGAAGATCAAATTAAACTGAGTAACAGACAAAGGACGAAATTGTCCCATTTTACAGGCCAGATATCGAGTCATCTACAGAGTCTAATTATAAAGGAGGGGGAAAAAAATAAACCTACCCGGTGTACATCATAATGGAGACCACGAATGGCGAAATTTGGGTCATATTCATAGCTCCTTATCTCTGCAGGATACTAAGGAAAGAAGGAGGAAAAATGGCTTTAAATTACTGGCTATGCATGGGGGGAAATGTACACAAAACACACTTTTAAATTTAACTTGCATTATTAATATTTTTCCATGACTTTGGTAAACGTAGACAAGCAATAAATCAAACTCTGGTTTGTGGCATCTGCCGATTCCCAAGATGATAATGCTTACACCAAAAATTTCCGAGATGATAATATTTACACCAAAAATTTAACTATCAGCTCTCCCAAGCCAGGTGCAGCTGGCTCCAGCACCCACACCCTGACTGAACTGAAAGCCTGAGGACCTGGGATCCAGGCTCTCCTACTTACTACCCGGGGGACCTTGGGCACGGAACTTAATCTTGGGGGTCTTTGTTTTCCTCCCCCTGTGAAATAAAGGAGTTGGATGAAAGAAGCTCTGAGACTTAATGGGAGCTAGAAATTCCAAGAGGCGGAGGTAAGAAGGTGGGATGTGCCAGGCACACCACTTAATCTTCTAGGGCCTCAGTTTCCCTATCTGTAAAATGTGGAAGTTGAACTAGATCGCTGCTGATTATCTATGGTCACCAAGGCCATACTCTACCACAGTTTTGCCGCTTACAACCCACCCAGGAATCAAACTCTTACTTAGCCCCCAACTCAGTTCTCTTTTTCTTTTAAGCTGTGCTCAGTTTCCTCCAATCTCTGAATCTGCTTCAATTTGCATAGATGCCTTAAGGCAAAATCAAAAGCCAGAACAATTTCTGCTGAAGAAACAGCCTCCCTATTAAAATCTCAGCCACGGGATAGGTGCACCAGCCCTGTCCCCGCTAGCCTGGTAGCAACAGCCAGCCCCCAAAGCTCCAGGCAGCCACAGGTCCTGCACCTGTTTACGGAGTCTGGGCAAGGTCAGCATCAGGTTTCCTCCCTGCCAGGACATTGACAGATGTATATTTAGCTATTAACCTTTACATTATAGCTTGGTCCCAAGCCCAAACTCATCTCAGTTGTCAGAAATGTCCTTTCTCAGGCACATTTAAGGGATGGCAAAATACATTCCCCTCTGCTAGAATATAATGATGATGATGATGATGATGATAACATATAATATTCTAACATCTTAACAACAAGTATTATTATAACATACAATTATTATTATAACAATAATGATAAACATTTATATTATTATTGTAATTCTTATAATTCTAAGGTTTGCAAAGCACTTTATACATCATTATTGGAAATCTTACTGTAAGTTTCAAGGTTTGCAAAGTACTTATATATCATTATAAATATTATAAGTTTTAAGGTTTGCAAAGCATTTTATATATCATTACTATAAATCTTATAAATTTTATATATAAATCTTATAAATTAAAGCACTTTATATATCATTATTATAAATCTTATTATAAGTTTTAAGGTTTGCAAAGCATTTTATATATCATTACTATAAATCTTATAAATTTTATATATAAATCTTATAAATTAAAGCACTTTATATATCATTATTATAAATCTTATGGTAGGTTTTATGGTTTGCAAAGCACTTTACATATCATCCTTATCAAGCCTATTATAACTTTAAGGTTTGCAAAGCCCTGTATAAATGTTATCTCATTTGATCCTTACAACCACCCTGGAACGTCAGTGCTATTATTATTCCCATTTTACAGATGAGGAAACTGAGGGACGGAGAGCTTGAGTTAAGTGCTCAGGGTCACATGGCTAGTGTCTGAGGTCACATGTGAAATCAGGACTTTCTGACTCCAAATCCAACATTCTCTTAGAGGCAATTGGGCAGCACAGTAGTTAGAAGAGAAGCGATTTAGATTTAAGTGATTTGAGATTCTAGATCTAGAGCTAATCACCTTTTTTACCCCCAACAGATGAGGCCCTTTATTTTTAAGTGAGGAAACTGAGGCCCAGAGAAAAGAAATCACTTAGGATCATAAGACCTCAGATCTCAAGCTACAAGGATACTCAAAGGCCATGTGGTCCAACTCCTTCATTTTACAAAGGAGGAAACTGTGGCCCAGAGGTTTTAAGTGACTTGCCCAAAGTCACACAAGATAACTTAAAACACCAGATTTGAAACCAGGTCCTCAAACCTAGACCATAAGCTAAGGGGGACAGCTAGAATAGGAACCCTACTAGTAACCCAACCCCATTTCAATTAAGCCAGTCCATGGGCTGGAAAGTCAAGGAAATGTGTGTGTATGGGCCTAGTATAGAGGAAGGAGAAGTGTCTTTTTCCTCCCTCATTAAAAGTTCTCACTAGGATGAAGATACCCATTGTTCTCACTCTGAACAAGTAAAATATTTTGTACAAGGAAACAGGACAAGTCAGCATCAAGTGAAGAAATCCTTAGAGTGCTGTATCATCCTGGCTGTGAAAGGCAATCAGTCATTGATGCACCAGAAATGACACAAACCACAAAGCCTGGCAACTGCATCAGATGCCCCAGCTTATTGGACAATGAACTCGGCTCCCTATAATTCAAGTTACCAACATCACAGCAACTTAAGTCACCATGAACTCAGCTATGACAACATGGCAACTTAAGGGGCTTCACTAGTCTTCATCTATAAAACAAGAATAACACCCATGAGCCCTATGCCTCAAAGGATGGCTGGGAACCAAGAGTTTGGAAAAATGTATAACAGTTTAGTAATCTGGTGATAATCCCCAAAGTCCAGGCCCCCCCAGCCCCCCCCAGGCTGGAGCGCACCACAAATGGGTGTCCTTCCCTACAATTAAAATTACAGGATCATAAATTTAGGGCTATAAAGAACCTCGAAGTCCAACCCCACATTTTATAGACAAGGAAAGTGAAGGACAGAAAAGCTCAGTCATTGGCCTAGAGCAGGGGTGGGAACCTACCACATGCGTCCTCGAGGGTGCAGGCTCCCCACTCTTGGCCTAGCGTCACACACCTAACAAATATCAGAGGTAGTCCTGACAGAAGGTGATGGACACAAAATGCAGAAGAGACTCATATAACATTTATGGACAGGGCAGTGTTTGGGATCCTTTCGGTTGAATACGCTCATTTGTTAAAAGGATTTTTTTCCTACAATTTTGACAGGGGTGGGGGTAGCAATAGTGATGAATAAAGACCACCCACACATTTTTTAAACACACAGAAGGGAACAGAAGGAAACACAGACAAGCAGGACAGCTTTGAAAGTCACGTGTAGAATTTATTATCTACTTCTACAAAAGCCAATGGTACAAAATGAAGATTTGTAATTTCATGTGCAATTCTCTTCTATGTGTTCTGCTGTGCATGCAGAGGTGCTCATTTGTGTGTTTAAGTTCAGAATGAAAAATAAAAATAAAATGTGTATGTGTGAGGTGAGATTTGAACCCAAGTCTTCCTAACTCCAAGTCTACTTCCCTATCCACTATTTATTTTGGATATACATTTTATGTGCTTTTCTGTATACAAGGTGTACCCCTCCACACAGAATGTAAGCTCCCTGAGGGCAGACTTTTCATTCTGTCTTTGTATCACCAGTGCTCTCAGCCACTGGGCCTGACACAGAGAAGGTGTTTAATAAATGCTTTCCGAGACTTGTATGGTCTGATGTTGAGTGAAGCGAGCAGAACTAGAAGAAAGGTGTAGATGGTAACAGCCACACTGTGCAATGACTAATATTGATAGACTTAACCCTTCTCAGTAATACAAGGATCTAAGACATCTCCAAAAGCCTCACGATGGAAAATGCTATCCACATCCAAAGAAGAAACTATGGAGTTTGAATGTAGATCAAAACATACTATTTGCTATTTTTTTTCTTCTGTTGTGTTTTGTTTCCTCTTTCTGGTGGTTCCTCCTATTGGTTCTAATTCTTACTTACAACATGACTAATGTGAAAATATGTTTAATAGGAATGTATATGTATAGCCTATATCAGATTGTGTGTCATCTTGGGGAGGGAGGTGGGAAGGGAGGGGGAGAAAAATTTTAAACTCAAAAGCTTATGGAAGTGATTGCTGATAATTCAAAATAAATTAATTAAAATAAATAAATGCTTTCTGAATTAAATTTTTTTTTAAAAAGTAGCTTTCAGGCACAGTCAGAGTGAACTGGGCAAAGGCTATTTCAGCACAAAACTGATTTCTGAATTCTTAATTATGAAGAAAGGGAAAGAATAAGAAGAAGAATAAGAGAAGGAAAGAAGGAAGGAAAGAAGGAAGGAAGGAAGGAAGGAAGGAAGGAAGGAAGGAAGGAAGGAAGGAAGGAAGGAAGGAAGGAAGGAAGGAAGGAAGGAAGGAAGGAAGGAAGGAAGGAAGGAAGGAAGGGAGGGAGGGAGGGAGGGAGGGAGGGAGGGAGGGAGGGAGGGAGAGAGGGAGGGAGGGAGGGAGGGAGAGAGGGAGGGAGGGAAGCTGCAATCTGTAGACCCAGCTTACCCGATGCTCATTGATGAGGAGGTCCCGAGCAGCATTGAAGATGAGGGTGTGGAGGTGCTTAGAATAAAAGACGAGAGTATAGTCATAATCAAAGCCATAGATTTCAATGTCTGACAGGCTCGTTTCATTGTTGGAGAAAATTGCATCTGGATTCAACAAGTTGCTCATAATTGAAGGAACCAGGTCTGAAAGTAACAGAAAAGGAAAATCTTAGTTCTCATTAAGATATAATAAATCATGAGTCCTGGAGGACAGTTGGGATTTCCCAATAAAGAAGTGGGCAAGTGAATCATGGAAGGTTTTTGTTTTCTCTTAAACGAGACACAAGATGAACAGTTTTGTACTCAGGGGAGGAGCTTGTCAAACGTATTCCAAAGACTCCTAGCTAGACTCCTAGCATTCAGAATCTTCCCAATGGTTTTGCTCACTGGTTCTTAATAGTACAAATACATCCCATCTTAATTGCAGCTCCCTCATCTCTAGGAATCCTGCTTTGCCTCAAGCATGAATAATTGATTCAAATCAATCTTCCTAAGGCACAAGTCAAACCACATCCACATCGACCCTATCCCCAGCTCAAAAAGATCCCCTGGCTTCCTATTGCTCCCAGGCTAAATTACAAACTTCTTAGCCTGACGTTCAAGGCCCTCCATCTGTCTTTTCCAGCCTTATTTCACATTACTCTCCTTCACACATTTCACAGTTCCACCGAAACTGGCTTAATTGTTCCCTAAACTCCACATTCCCTCTCCTAACACCTAAATTCATTTGCAAAAGCCTGTAAGCCTCTCCTCATCTCCACCTTTCACAGACATTTCTACTTCCTTCCATTCCTATAAGGCTCAATTCAAGACTTCCAGGAAGCCTTTTGAGGCCCTCCTCCCACCCCATATCTCTTCCTAACTGTCAGCTTAGATGAGGAGTTCTGTCTGTGGATTTCATTTACCAATGCCATATTAAACCCAAAACATGACCTAATCGAAAGAGAGCAGCATTAGTGTTAGAGGTGCTGGGTTCAAATGTTTACTCTGCTACTGACTACTTGTATCACTTTGGCAAGTCACTTAACTTTTGGGGGGGAGAGAAGACAATGGGGTTAAGTGACTTGCCCAGGGTAACACAGCCAGTAAGTGTCTGAGGCCAGATTTGAACTGAGGTCTTCCTGACTTCAAGGCTGGTGCTCTACCCGCTACCCCACCTAACTGCCCCCATTTAACTCCTTAACTTCAATTTTCTTACCTATAAAAAAAAAGCGTTGGAATAGGCAATGTGGTATAGTGGAAAGAACATTCGCTCTGGAGTCAGAGTGCCGGAGTGCTTGTATTCGGACCCTACTTCCAAGATCGTATTTCTCCCTGGCCTCAAAAACATTATCCCTGACAGTTTCCCTCCAGCCCAAGGACCCTATCTCTGGCAGTGACTCATGAGTGGGTCCAGTGAGGCAATCTCTACCTGTTTCAAGGACAAGCTGACCTCAGTAGAATTTCCCTTGCACTATCTTGTATCAACAGAACTATCATATACTAATGCCTACAGTTACCATATACAATCCAGAGGTCAAGCTATAGACATCAACTCCTGAAGCTATCTTGTTATCGACATAACAGAACAAAATATACCCTTTAAGAACCCTCTCTTTCCCTCCTCCCCTCAGTTTCCAGCAGCGAATGACGTAGTTGTATGTTATCACCTAATTAGCACACTTGGCACATAATCCACTACTTTTCCTATATAAGCTTTAGCATCATTCCTGTTAGGGTACAAGTTCCCTAAGGACCTCTGCCCACTATAACAGGTTCCTTGAGAATCCTTGCCCACTGTACAGTGTAACAATAAATCTTTGCCACCTTGACTTGAAGAAGGCTTGAATCTGTGAATTCATTCCAGATGACCCCGTCCTTGAGAGGTCGAAATCTCTCAAACTACAACAAGAGGACCTGAAGAAATCCTGTTAGGAAAGTCCCCTCACCTCCCTGGGCCTCAGTTTCCTCACTGGTGAAATTAAAGTATTGACCTAGATGTTCTCTGAGGTCCTTCCAGCTCTAGCACCCAATGATCTAGCAAGGAATCTAAGATCCCAACTGACAAGAGTGGTTGCAACAACCAAGACTCAGTCACTGGCAGGAGGGAGCAGGTGCTTGGCCAATAGGGACATCCTCTCACCTATGTGGGACCTGTGCTTGGGGGGCGGGGGAGGTGCAGAGCAAGACCTTCTTACCAGACTCTGATATGGTCATGAGGCAGGTTGAATTCAATGAGCACAGTTGTTTTGGGGAACTGAATAGAGATAAAGGCATGAAAGAAGGGACCAAAGTCCAGAAAACTAAGAGACAAATTTTTAACAGAAAAAATGCTTCAGCAGACTGAGCATGGCCAAAAGAGGTGTCACCTTGGTGATGGAAGACCTGGATTCAAATCCTAGTTCTTCTTGCTAGCTAATAATATATGTAAAGATAATAGAGACAATATATGTGAAGAGCTTTGAAAATCTTAAAGCACCAAATAAATGCTATTATCATTGTTGTTGCTGTTATTATTAATTACAACCAAATCTTTATACTTAACAGTTTGCAGGAATGCAGTCTAGGAGCAGAGATCCAGACCTGGAAGAGACCTCAAAAGCCAACCCCTTCATTATGCAAATAAGGAAACTGAGGCCCAGAAAGATGGTGTGACTTGCCCACAGTCGCACATGAAGTAGGAACAGCATACAGAAGTTGCAGAGAGTCAAATTCAGGCTTAATGGAAGGGGAACTCCCAAACGATGCAAAGAAGTTACACAATGGTTGAATGTGGGCCCCTTAGGAGGGTGAAGGCTCCTCATCTCTGTGGGTCTTGAAGTAAAGATCATTTGTCTGAGCTTTTATAGAAAGAAGGGAAAGGCAGAGGTGGGAAATCTCCAGCCTCAAGGCCACATATGGCCCTCTAGATTCTCAAGTGCGGCCCTTTGACTGAATTCAGTCAGACCTAGAGGGCCTTGAGGCTGCAGGTTCCCCACCCCTAGGATAGGGGTTCAAGCAAGGGTTAAACTAGCTGATGTATGAGGTGCCTTCCAACTCCATGAATTCCTATCACTGCGCCATCATTCTAGCTGAATTTCTCTTGTTTTCATTTCCTTGACCAACATCCCTGCATGGGACAGGACTTCTTATGGACCCTTCCATCTTCTAATCTGTGATTATAAATTTATTTTTTTTTATTTTCAACATTCATTTCCACAAGATTTTGAGTTCCAAATTTTCTCCCCATCTCTCCCCTCCCCCCACCCCAAGACAGTTTCATTCTGAATACTCCTTCCCCTAACCTGCCCTCCCTTCTATCACCTTCCCCTTCTATTTTCCTGTAGGGCAGGATAGATTTCTATACCCCATTGCTTGTATATCTTTAATCTGTGATTCTAAATCCAACCCCTGGAATCACCTCTGACATCTTTTAACATAACCACAATGTGAAGGAAGCAGCTAGGTGGTTCAATGGATAGAGCACTGGCCCTGGCGTCAGGAAGACCTGATTTCAAGTCCAGCCTCTAACACTTACTAGCTGTATAAATCTCTTAACTCTTGTTTGCCTTAATCCACTAGAGAAGGAATGGCAAATCACTCCAGTATCTTTGCCAAGAAAACCCCATGGACAATACTGGCATGCTGTGGGTCCATGGATGAACAACACCACCTAGAGATAGCAGGCCACATGAGACACTCACCAATCGAGCAAAGATACGTTTGCGGCTTTCAAATATTGGAAAATCTGTCATGTGAAAGAAATATTGGGCTAATTCTATGTGTTGGCTGCCATTTACAGGCATATTTCAGGTCACTGCAAGGAAGAGCTTCCTGGACCCAGAACTAGATAAAAATGTCATCAGCTGTCTCATCAAGCAGCTGGAAGTATTCAACAATTCACACTTGTATTAAGTATTTATTATGTATGCACAATGTGCTGGGGATACAGAGAAAAAAAATAAACCATCCTTGCCTCAGGAAACCTGAATGGTGGTGGTGGTGTTCCGTGTTCTGGTTCTTATTGTCCTCCTCCTCCTCCTCCTCCTCTTCCTCCTCCCTTTAGTCCTTTTTGAAGAGGACCAAAGACATCAGGGAGGGTGCTGCCCTGACATGCACATGAATTGGAGTCAAGTGAGGCATAGCTGCACAAAGTCCTCAGCCTCACTCTCTCCTCCAGAGCCCTGGTAACCCCCCTTAGCAACACAGACAGGATTATTGTATTAGGCAAGGGGACTTCTAATCAGTCAATTAACACTTATTAAGCACCTACCACATGCCAGGTGCAGGGGATGCAAAGACACAAGTAAAATCTTTCCTGCCCTCAAGGAGTTTATATTCAGTGATTTACAGGTCCTTAAAAAATCACTCCACAAAACATGAGCCTCCACTTTCAGAAGGTACCAAGGAAACCTAATTTTCAAAGCCCTCAAAATCCACAAAGAAAAGTATTCACGCTGTTTTAGAGCTTGGAGGGTGCCTGCCTCTGCCAAATGAGGCCAAATGAGCCTGGATTAATTGTTTACATATTTTTCTACCTTCCCCCCACCCCACCCAGTAAGAAGAGGAATGAGAAGAACAAATTTAGAAAGCTGATCCCCTATTTATAGCAGAAGATGAGGGCCAGAATCAACAATTAGATTAAAAACACAGCCTGGCTCATTTTACCCTGCTGATTGAGGCTTTGCCTACAACATAATTCAAACATGGCTCCTACGAGACCTCTGCAGCTGCTGCCTCTTATGGGGCAGTATAAAAAGGCTGGAAGCGCCATACTTCAGCAGCTGACACTATAGCACGGGTTTTTTAACTTTTTTTGTGTCATGGATTCCTTTGGCACCCTGGTGAAGCCCATGGACCCCTTCTCAAAAATCTTCTTTTTAAATCCATAAAATCAAACATGTTTCATTGTTTGGTCAATTTCGGTCATGCCCAACCTCTTTGTGACCCCATTTAGAGTCTTCTTGGCAAAGATACTGGAGTGTTTGCTATTTCCTTCTGCTCATTTTACAGATGAGGAAACTGAGGCAGAGTTAAGTGACTTGCCCAGGGTCACACAGCTAGTACCTGAGCCTGGATTTGAACTCAGGAAGATAAGTCTCCCTAGACTCCAGGCCCAGCACTCTACCCACCGCACCACGTAGCTATTCTTACAATCAAACATATAGGATTGCAAAGGAAAATAA